CTGCACTTGCACAGTAGTTTCAGTACGTAGCAAACTTTGTAAACATGGTTTCACCAGAGTCAAGAATTCACCACTGGTTCAGTCAGTATTTAATTTATGATTGCAAAATTGTCCTTTTCAAGTGTGGAGACTTGAAAAAGACTTTTTTTTTAACTGGCAAATCTGGAGAACAAGTAAATTATTACTCTATCGATGTCCTCTGTTTGATTCAGTGGAAATACTGTTCCTTTGAAATAAACCGCAAGCAATATGTTGTGTAAGAGCTGGGGCAGCAGGTTTACAACTCTCACATTGTAAAATGGTCTGGGTCTTTATCAGCTTATTCAGTATAGTATTTTATTAGTGTTGAAGTCAACATAAGCATATTGCTTGTCTTATCTATGCTTCTTTATAACCATAATATTACCAAGATTACAGCAACTCATTGCCTGACATTTATATATCTGCCTGTCAAACCAAATATTCATGGAGTACTCATTGCTGCTCGAAGTAGCCTGGAGTAATAGTTCTGATCCCTCTGGTTACCTCTCAGTATCTCCTAGCTGGTAGTGAAGGAGCTCTTGCATATATGCATTTGTAAGATCCCATCTCTTTGTTTATGTGTTTCTGGTGCAATCGGTTGGCATTCCTTTATTGTGTCATTTATTTGACATAGCATTGCGGGTATGATATTGCATTTGTGGTGTGTAGCATGCATTTTCATTGTTATTTATAACATTGATATCAATGGTTAGTTTGGTGGTACAGAAAGAGAAGGAAGATTATAATCTCTTCCTCAATGGATAGTAGCAGATAGGAAGCAATGTCTTTCATAATGGAATAATGTAAATAAAATGCTACTCATTAATTAAATGTGATTAACTGAAAGAGAATACAGTTAGTTAAATACTCTAAATCTTAAAAATATATAATCTTCTTAAAATGCTATCAGCATTTTGAATTTTAAGTACATTTTAAATTCACAAACATCAAGAAGCGGAAGTTTCTTGTGAACAGTCTTTGGTTCATGGATTTCCTGGTATTCCCTGGGTAAATAGAAATGTCTGTCATATTGTTAAGGTACTTGAATGCATCCAGGGGGCAACAAAGCTGGTGAAAGGGCTGGAAGGAATGTCCTGAGAGGAACTGCTAAGGAGACTGTCTAGTTTGGAGAAAAGGAGGCTGAGGGGTGACGTCATTGCTCCCTACAGCTTCCTGAGGAGGGGACATGGAGAGGGCGGTACTGAGCAGTTCTCCCTGGGATCCAGTGACAGGACGTGTGGGAATGGTTCAAAGCTGTGCCAGGGGAGGTTTGACTGGACATTAAGAAGCATTTTTTTACTGAGAGGGTGGTCAAACATTGGAATGGGCTTCCTAGAGAGGTGGTCGATGCCCCAAGCCCGTCAGTGTTTAAAAGGCACCTGCACGATGCCCTTAGTAACATGCTTTAATTTGGTCAGCCCTGAAATGGTCAGGCAGTTGGGCTAGACAGATGATTGTGGGTCCCTTCCAACTGAAAATATTCCATTCTCTTCTTCACTCTTCTCCTCTTCTCTCCTATGTCATCCAGCTTTTGGACTTCTCCCCATCTTCAGCAGAGACCTTGTGAACATGCATCTGAAGAGAAGGAAAAGTTTATTGTTTATTTTTTAATACAGGCTAGATGCAGTAACTTCAGATCCTTCCCACAAGGTACATGAGATAAAACATCCTCATTAACTCTTTACTCTGAGAAAATGCTTGGTGTTATTACAACGATTGGAACTTCCCATGTCTTTTCCAACAGTAAGAAAGGAGTAAAAAAGTGGAGAAATCTCACAGCAGAATATTCTGAGGTCAAATTACACAGGCTAGTGTAGAATATTTTGCCAGAACGGCTCATGAAATATTCGTAAGTCTTTTGTAGAGCATAATGCTGTAGATTTTAGTCAAGGTGCTAGTTTAGGCTGCCAGCCTTCAGACGCCCTACCTACCCCAGATGCGGAGTTCAAGGTCAGAGGGGGCATGACTCACCCGAGGAGCGTGTGTTGTCATCGCCCCATCTGGGCAGGGGAGTCCCACCTGCGGCGCCCTCATTTCCAGGGCAGAGGCCCGGCCGGCCCCGATTGGCCGCGCTGGCTCCCGCCTCACAGCGGATTGGCCGGGCCTGCCGCCTCCTCCCTCTCATCTTGCTGGGGCACCCGCGCTGCCCGCCTGCAGCTCTTCCACACTGACCACAGAGGGACCGGAGGATGCCCACACATCAGCACTCGGTCGATAAGGTGTGTTGGTGGGGGTGTGGGGGACAGGGTGCTCACTACCTGGTGGGGCTTATTCGCAGAGGCTGAAGAGTAAGTCTGTGGCTCATCAAGAGCATCTAGGGGGAGAAAAGAAGGGAGGAAAATACTCCTAAAGAATGGGATTAGAAAGGGATACACAGGACTGAGTCTTAAACTGTTGGCGGGATGGACTTGCCAGGACTGTGTTTTTCAAATTATGGAAAAGTATTTATCATATTAATTAAATACTTTGTATTTAAATGCTTCTAAAACAACTTTTGTCTCTATTCAGAAATTTGCCTAAGGCTCTGGAGAAGCAAACCACCAAAGTGTCTCTTCCCAAGTCCACTAGACTTTGAACGCAGTAGCTAACTAGCACCCAGGGATTTAATTGTTGGCCTGAAGTCACATTAGACTAAGTGTGGAAGAGGATTCTTGAAGTAGCAGCTGAGGTACTGCAAAGATCAGGGCCATATAGGCTCATAGGAAGAAAGGATTGTATCTGTGATTAAAAAAGAATTAGAATTTTTCCATCAGATGAAGGAACTGAGGATAGTTAGTTTTTCATAATAATATCACATCAGAAGCTTGCAAATGATATTTTTTTGCCAGAATTCCCTGTGCTTCTATTTTATAAATACTTACTTTTAGTTTCTTTACACCTTTCATGGAGAAAAGGTAAATTTGTGATCCAAGATAACATGAATACATTGAATATGTATTGGAACTCGGCATCCATGGGAATTATTTTCTGCTTCTGCCTCACGTCTGGACTTGGAATTTTGTAAGATGCTAGTATGTCCCTCTTCCTCATCTAAAACCCGGTTCCAAAGGATGGCATGATGAGACTCTTAGGATAGTTCATGAATTGTTAAATCAGAGAGCTGATGCAAAGAGAAGGCATCTCAGCCGTGTTTCAACTTGTTGAGCTTGTATTTCTGGTTCTCTTCTAGCTAGAAAAAGAGGAAAGGAGGTTTCAGACTGGTTTTCTTTTGTGGAAGAGTGCAGCCCCAGACAATTTTCCAATCCCAACTGAACTAGTGCTAAGGACTCTGTGCTTTGAAATAGAACATCTAATTAGAAACAGATTTTTTTTTCCGTCTCTCCATGAGTCAGACAAAGATTTCAACAACACGTAGACTGGTTCACATTAAATCACTGTTTACCACATCTGTTAATATAATAGCACCTACATGCTGTATTTAAAATTTAATTAGAGGTGGGCCATGTCAAAATCGTCACGAGAGATTGGATAACCGCACCCAGTGTACTGATACCAAAACATAATGCTTACCAGGATCCCATTTAAGTGACATTTTCATGAGACTCTTAGGAGAGATAGTCTTCATCTGCTTTGAAGACATGATAACTTGCACATATAGCTTTCCTGATTGCTGCACTTACTGGTTGTGACTCCATTCAAACCTTCATCATCTTCCTATAGAAAATCTTTCAGCACATTACAGTCACCCGTTTTATTGTTTGTTGGCTTTTAAAAAGTAGTTTAACTTCAGAGTTAAGTGCATGGGTGTTTGGAATTGTGCTTTGAAGTTTTCCCCCCATGCTTCCAGGTGTGTCTGTTACTTATTTCACTAGCATGTACAAAACAGAATGGTCGTATACATTGATGCACAAATTAAGATACACAGGTAGATGATACAAATTGAACATATCTCTTACATTGTGTTTGAAATTCTTTAAAAAATCTCAAGTAAAAATCTCCATTTTTTCTGTTACAGTCTATTGTATCAAACAAGGCAATCCTGTAGGAGACAGCATGAAAAATAGCATTATTATAATACTCCCTGTGATTTAACATTTGTCTCAGCATTTTTGTAACTGGAACAGTGAGGTGTTAATAAGATGCAATGGCCTCACAACTATGTGGTGCAATGGTTAAATGTTTAGACTTTGAGTATGGATGGTAATATCTGGTATTGAACACCTGAGAATACTGCTGGAAAATGTTTCCTTTCATTCTTGGAAATAGTTTACTATCAGTGTCAGTACTACAAATGAAGGATAAAGAAAATACATTTTCTTTCCACTGACAATTCTTGAAGACTGAACTTTGGACCTGCCTCTTAGTTATTTTTGTGAATTTCTGTACTGGCTATAATTAATCTTAACCCATAGGGAGCATGCACTAACAATTTAGTATTTTTGAATTGTTTAGAAATTCAAAGAACTTTGTGAAAGTCTTTTGTTAACTCCTTCAGGAAGCAAATATTTTGAAAAACTTCCAGGAGTTGTCTAAGGCATTTAACAACAGATTTCTTGGCTGTCTCTTGGAAGTGAAAGTAGGCAAAGCAGTCAAAAGAGACCATGCTAGTCATGGTTATATCTACAAAAAGCAGTTTGAGAGACCAAGGATTGTATCTTAGTTTTTGAATAATGAAGGAGCTGAGCTAAATCTGCCAGCTCAAGAATGGGGAAGTTTGTTTACAGCTTTTTCTAGTCCAAAGCCATAATGCGGCAGACATGGCTGTTAATGGATTGATGTAATGTAACTGGAGAATTCAAACTTCCATTAATAATTCAGCATTTTAAAATTAAAATATTTCTGTTTTTTATTGCCCTGTTCTGCCAGTGCATATAGGTATTTTATTTTAATTTATTTTCTTCAGAATACATGAATGCAATGAAAGCCCGTCTTTCTACCCTTCTTCTGTTTCCTACCCTGGAGAAAAGCAGATATTTGTCAAACACAGCAACTACTATAAAGAAGTTACTATAAACTATATTGTCTCTTTTTTTCCACAGATGAGGAGACACTCCTACTTAGTTTTTTTGTTCTGTGGGATAATTTTGCCTGGAATCCTTGGGTTTCCACAGACAAATACCTCAATTGATTGTGATTCTCTGTTACCAAACTATGAAGCTGAACCACAGACATCTTCACCACCATATATTATTGCTGTATCTTTTGATAACTTTGAGCCAGGAAATGAAATCCAAGGTAAATAATCTGAATGACATAAAATCTTTATCTGTATCTCCCAGAATTACCAGGTTTCGCCAAAATTCCCCAATTTTCCTCTCATTCTAGTTAAATTTACTTTTTTATTTCAATATCATTCATCTATACCTGAGATATTAATCTTTTTTGAAATGCTTTATATATACATATATATGTATATATTTGTATAACTGAAAATATATTATCTCAGTTTTTCTTTTCCCTATCTAATAAATATATATTAACTTCATGCTATAATTTTTATGACAAAATTAGCATGAAATTGGACAGCTGGCCAAACTGGACTAATAAATAGTTGCTGTTTAATTTAGGATTTGAGTATCTGCTGTTGTATCAGGCCTCTGTGATACAAAGGGATCCTGCTCATTAGAAGTTCATATGCTGTCATCTTACAGGAAAATAAAAATTCAGGATGCAGTATAAGACAACTCAAGAGTGAGACATTTTGAGTCATCCTTCTAAGAGCTGCATCCCAGATTTTATCAAATTACAAGAGGTGGAGCTATTGTAGTTTAAACCACCTTTTTATTTTCTTAATCCCAAATTGCTCTCTGGATGAAACATCTTGACAGCCTTGTTTCTCCACACTATGGTGCCATCTCATGGTGCTGTCACACTTTAAGTGGCTTGTGAAGGATACTTTTTCCAGCCATTTGCTAGAAGTATCATGGACATGGAAGTGAGTTGTAACCTGTCACATGTCTCTTGTTGTATCTCAGTAGCTGAAAAAGAGCATTATTCACTGAATAGCTACTGTCTAGCTGGGATTCTGTTTTACCTGAACCTAGTAGCATAGACGTCCTTCCATGGAGAGTGATATGTGGGGAGGAGAATGGAGAAGCATTAAGAGTCCTATTATACCTGCCATTCTTGGAAAAACATGTGTGAATAGCTCCTTCGAGGACAAGAAGGCTGTGTGGTTACCAAGAGCTATTTTAAAAAGAGTATTGCCAGCAAAATGATGGATGAAGTATATGCAGAATATTCTGTGAGGTTATATGGGATTTACCATGACAAAGATATTGAATCCCAGATGCTACTAACCTTGCCTCTTTTCTTTTTTTTTTTTTTTTTTTTTCCTAACCATGCTTTTCTTGCTGTAGCACTACTTTTCTATTGCTTCAAATTGTAAGCATCCATTACCTCGTCTCAGGGAGCTGAATTAGCTTGCCCTTCCATTGCAGTTTCACCTGTGGTATGCCATGTGCCAACACTCACAGTCACATCTGTGCTTGATTTAACACTGCATTGAGGTGTTAGATGTCATCCCTTCTGTGATACCTGAAAAAATTAGTGAATTAGGACTGAAAGTTGATGACAAATTGGAAAGGTAATTATGCAGGTGTTTGGAAATGTTAAATTGTCAAGGTATAATTGGTCCTTGCCTTGACTTGTGTCTCATTCCCAGTTAGTCTGTCCTTATTTTTAATGAGTATGCATACCTTTGAGCATAAACCATTATTCTGATTTTATTTGTGAAAGTGACTAATATTGGCACTAGTGGAGCAAGTTTATAATAGATCATAACAAATTTGATTATGCCTCTTGAAATTTAATTTAAATTTGGATGTACACAAACCATGAAACTGCTCTCCTCCATGTTTTTCTGAGCTCCTTCAGTAATAAAATTTGAGTAAAATTGAGTTCATAATTACTAATTTTTCATATTGAAAATAGAGCGAGAGCCAAACTGTCTAGTTTATCCAGTTGTAACACATTAAAAAAAAAAAAAAAAAAAAAAAAAACAAACCAAAAACCGCAAAAAATGGTCCTGCAATTCAGCCTTAGGCAAAAGTAAATCTCTTATTTTGAAACAGAGGGAGAAAGAAGTGCAATTCTCTTTCTGCCATAGCTATTTTGACTTCATAGGCCTAATTAGACAGAAAATAAATAACCTTTTGTTCAGCAGGGCCATTGGACAATATTCTCAGTATGCATGGGGAGCAAATGAGATGAATATGAAAGGTGTAGTCATTTAGTAGAGCAGAATTACTTTTTAAATTGTCAATCATATATTTCATGTTGCTTTACACAGAAATGCCTCTCCAAATTTCCTCCTTTTCTTTTATTGTCATTCTCTTGATAGTTAATTAAAATGGTAATAAATTCCAGTATTTTTAAATACTGTAAAAGGTTTTAAGAATTTCTGTACATGCAGTCTTCTGCTTTGGAGTAAGGGAAATTAGATGTTAAACATTTAAGAGGTTTTAGCTGTGTATGAAACGTAAATTTCTCAAAATGTCTGTTTTCACAGTGACTCTAGAAGCACTTAAAGATGTTGGTTTTAAAGGATTTAATCTGCAAGCTCGAGAAATAGAAGGAGATGTTCCTATTGGTACTTTTAAAATTACAGATCCAAACACTAAAGGCTTGGAATGTCATAATGTGACGGTATGTGTTTAGTCTTTATAATACTTACTTAAGCTTGGTTTCCTTTTAAATATTTTAATCAGAATTAATAGAACAAGTGAGCATTTTTTATACGGCAAAGTTATTTCATCAGTAGAGTTTAAAAATTTAGACTTTCTCAGGAAATAAATGTATCTTCCCGATGTGATATGAAGCTACCTGGCGCTTTTAAGGAGGACATCAGTGTACCTGCTGTAGTAGAAACAGTTCCCCTAATAATATAGGTAAAAGTAACTTTTGCATCTTATATAATATGTATTTCTTTTTAATTGCAGAATTCAGCAGTAAGTCATACAAATTCAGATGTGAAGCAGAAAATTACAACAACATGGATTGCTCCACATGATGTTAGAGATCTTCAGTTTATGTAAATAATTGTTTTTCTTTTTTTTTTTTTTGCCTTGAAATTTTATTTCTATCGATTATTTTGACACGGATCTGTGTTGCTGTTTCTGATGTTTTTGTCTGGCCTCAATCATGGGTTTTTCATAGTTTGTCATAACTTCCTACTGTATCCACTAAATAATGTAATTTCCATTTCAAGGTATAATTATAAAAGGTAAACACTGTCCTACAGATGTTAATGTATGTAAATAATTCCATTAAACACAGTGTTATTAATGGATCTTTGAGTAACCAGTCTTTACACTTTGACCTCTTTAATTACAAGAGCAACAATGTGAATATAACAAGTTCCCTGAATAAGTAAAGTTCAGGCTCTATTCAATTATAACTTTTTTCATTTTGAACAGCAGAAAAGTAGTTTGATATTAATGCTCATAGGATAAATTTAAAAATTGGTTTATGACAAATGAACTAACTACTGCAAACAGGAAAAGGCAAATTTATCCTATATTTAATGCTAACTTTCTTGCAGATCTGAAGCTTGTAAAAATATCACCTGGTCTATCCAAATGCATCCTTGATGTAATTGGAAAATATCTAAATATTTGGTAGCTGGATATTGTTTGAAGTATAGATTTATGATAGGAGCATCTTGGCCTTGCTTCATTAAACCTTGAGGAATACAAAAAGGGGCAAAAGTACACAAAGTAAAAACATGATAACTTCCACTTGCTAACGTCATGAAGATCCGTTCACCATCATACATCAAGATTGTCAGAGCAGGAAAGAGTTGTGACAATTTTTATGGATACCTGAGTTGACACTCCCCACTGGACTGAATGCTTCTTCAAATAGTGTCCATTCGTCTTCTGCTCCTTCTCAGTATCTATTTTATTTATCTTCAAAATTATGTTAAAAGATACTATGGTAACTGGAAAACAGAAATGTTCTGGAAAATTATTATGTTCTTTTCAAACTTGTACTGTGTACCCTTAAAATCAAAACAGAGTGGCTTTTCTTGTCTCAGGGGGAGGAGTGCTTATTGATATTTTATACTGAAATATTTTGATATAAAAATAATTACTTTGTTTTCTTTCCAGTGCAACTGTTGTTCAAGACCTAGAGAAATTTTGGGTTGGAATTCAAAGCAAAACTCTCACACCTACACATTCTGAGTCAGTTAATGGGACAGGAAAAAGTAAAAGGAAGGTATGTTTTGAGTGTATTTGCATATTATTAATTAATACAGTAAATTAAAATATCTTTGACTTGATAAAAGACACACATTCATTGTCATGTATTCATTAACTAAGATGGCCAAAATCATTAGGTATTTTCAATGCTTTTAATTTAACTGCCTAATCCTCTTACTAAATTGATAAAAAAATAAATATTATTTTTCCCCCACAGAAATAAGGAAACTAATAATCTAGTTATCAAAACATTCCATAGAATAAAGACAAAGAAAATCAGTCATAAGGAGAACTCTACCGTACTTCTGGTGTACTGTGCTGTTCCTAACTGCTGCCTCAGTCTCTGGGAACTATAGCTGTGTAGCTTATGTTCAGAAATTAGTTTGTTTAATCTTTGGCCAAGATTTATGCTCGTGTCAAACATTTTAAACATGATAAGCAGCTAAAGTAAAGAAAGTCTGTTCAAATCTACCGGTTTGGTTCTTGATTGTAGCAACACTGATTTGTGTCATCTTGTGATCTAACCAAGAGTGAACACCTTTTTGTCCCTTGCTTTTGTCCCTCACTACTTCACCAGATATATTTCTGGTTTCCTATAGTAAGCTGCCTTTTTTTTTTTTCCCAGTAAATAATTTGTAAATGTTTCCTCGTTTGTTTTTTTTTTTTTTTTTTTCCCACAGCTTATGATAGAATTAGAATGTAACAAGGTAAGAGCAATTTTTCTTCGATTTCTCAAATTTCAATTACCTCAGTTTCAGAATTCCTGTCCTAATGGTGCAGTTGTTTCATGGTTGTAGCATGAGGATTATATCATACCATTCAAATTACTTTCCTAGCAAGATCTCATTTATGCTTACATTTTTGTATGCAGTTTTGAAGTTACTTTTGGTTTTAATTAGTTAACATCAGTTCTCAGATCAGATTGTTACAGTGTGTAAGGTATTGTAAGCAATTAAACACTTCTTCACTCCAACCATGAATGTGAATTCAGTTAATTTCCTGTTTAAAATAATTTGGTATTTATACACCAGTCAATAAACAGTAACTGGAACCTGTACTTTCTTGCAGCGTGGAGGGACTTATACAACACAAGGCCGATGCATCATGGTAAGTATTCTTTCTCCAAAGACATTGATATATTGCTAATTGCCCAAGATCTCAAGACCTAGTCAAAAGCTTATTCTAGTCACATCTTTATCCCACTTATTGCACAATTTATTTTTCTTTTTGGCAATTTACCTTGGTTGAATAAAATCTCAAACTTTCTAACCGGTTGTCAGCCTTGTTACCATTTCCTCCTGCAGGTTCTCTCTAGCTAATCTGGAGTAATTTTCTAATAGAATTTTTCTTTTTTCTGTCTTCACTTTTTAGTCATAGTACTTGCTTGCTTTTCAAGATCACTTATTTCAACAGCTCTGAAACATTGCCTTTTGCAAATTGTGATCTAGATATAAAATTTAACTATTTGATTATTTTTTTTTCTGAAAACTATCGATTGCAGCTCAGTGAAGAAGTTGCTTTATCTTCTTTCCTTTCTCCCAGTAAATATGCCCAACATTTCGTAGTGTCTAGTGATTACATAATCATATCAGTAGAAAGTTTTCATCTACTTTTTAATGATCTTGACACTGTAGGTCTCCTCCTCAGCGATGGACAGCAAGTGTATGAGGCCAGATAAAAAAGGGAGCAAGCAGCAGAATTACATTAATTTATACCAGTGGTTTTGGCATAGTTTTGATTGTTTGTCTTTAAAGATCCGTGAAATAATTTTAATAGTATCAGTTGGTGGAATGAAGTCACAGAAAACTACTTCATGTGTTCTTCCTTTTCCCACCAAGTAGATCTTTTTTTCCTGAAAATCATTTATATAAAAATCAATTTCTGCAAAATAATTAATAACATTTTGATTTATTTACAGGTGGGACCATCCAGTTCCTCTCAGAACAGCTATTCAGGCAGTCAGGTAAGAGTCCTAACTGCCAGCATTTGTACGTTTTCCTTTAGTAACCTTGAACAACTAAAATTCTGTAACTAGAGTACTCAGATGATTTAATACTGTACTGAGATATCATCTCTTCTAGTTAACGCAGAATGCCAGAGTTATTCATCCAGTAAACTATATGTTTAGTACCTGGATGAAGTTCAACTACCTACATTCTGCAGAACTCAGTAGCTTGCTGTCGTTATTCTTGCCAACAGGATGCCTCACCATCTCTAATTTCACACACTAAGCATTTTTATCAAGTGCATTGACCCTTTTGAGGAAAAAAAAAAGATTACTTCCGTTTTCTTAGAATATTCATATCTATCTGTGCACATGTGCATGCAAACGGAGTCACAAACCATCTACTTCATAGTTTTAGATACATCTGGCATGATGGAAATGAAACTGTACTTATTATTAATTGATAAGTTAGGCATTTTTTTATTTCTTTTTTTTTGATAATCAAAATAAATGGTCTAATTATACTTGTGTTTCACTGTCTTCTCCACAAAATTCGCAAAATTTCTCCAAACTTGAACAGACATTCACACATATATTTAAGCTCCAGTATAATTTCTGTATCACTTTCAACACCAGATCATATTTACAATTGAAAATTTGGGGATTTCACAGTCTAGTTAGCCTTTTAAAACTTCTGGGATATGTATGTCTTCATTCTCACTGATCTTCACTTAATCACAGCAATGTTTACTTGGTTTTTAGTTAATTATCTCCACTATCATAATGCGTCTATTTGCACTTGAACTGTCAGATGCTTTCTGGTATGTCTCCAGTTTCTTGAACTGATACTCTCAAGGCTATATTTCTTACTACTTTTTAGTAATTTATATTTATTAGTGAATTATCTGGTAATATTCCATTTGTTCAATCTTCACTACTTGTAAGAGCAATTACCAGACTCTGAGAAATACCAATTATTTTCATGTATACACTAAATACTGATTTTCTTCATTGTAGTTCTTTCATTTATAATACATTCTCTTTTCGAAGAGCTGAGTTTCTCATCTTGTCACGTAACTACATGAAGTTATTAATTTGTTCTAAAATTATAAATAATTTAGTAAAACAACTTGTGGATTTTTACAGGTTACATGACCAATGACAAAGTTATATGAAATCCAGATGATGACTAATGTCTCATACTAAATTAGAATTGCTACAGCCAGCTGCCAGTGAACTGGTAACCTCTGTATTGCTTATCCCATATTTGCACATACATATTGCAGAGCTGTTTTTTTTTTCTTTCTTTCTGCCCTCCCCCCCTTTTTGTTCTTATGTGGAAATAATTGACTTCTGTTTTTATTTCAGAGTGGAGTAGTCTACACAATAAGCAAGAGTGGATGTGCCCCTGTAAGCACTTTTCTTACATTTACTTTTTTGTCCCCAACATTTATAGTAACTTCTAGACTTTAGTGGGAGTTTCTATTGCCAATGGAAAATAAAGAAGATTAATATTACAGTTTATTCAATGACATAAAGTGGTTGGCAAACTGAGATGTTAAATAGAAATATATAGATGATAGAATCATGAAAAAAGGACACATTACGCTCATTATACAGGTTGTCTGTTCTCTCCTAATCAAGACAAAACTGGTGTGAATTGGTCTGAATGTTTTAAGTTGTTCTTCCTCTCACAATTAATCACACAAATATGTACAATAACTAAGGTTATTTCAGTTTTTCATTTTTTCATGCATCAGGGATACTTTGTGAAGTTATGTATCCTAGACAGGTCAAGCCAGTCATCCAGAAATAGGTGAGAGATGCAAGAGTGCTCTAATGTGGTGCTGAATGGATCAAAAACTTAGCTGAAGTATTTTTATCAAGATGCTGACTAATTGTATGGACTAAAATATTTGTGAATTCAGGTCAAATATATATAATTATATTGGTTTCTTTTCAACATTTGCAAGATAAGATTTTTAATTTTTAATGTAAATTTACTATGTCCAAACATTTACTCAATATAAAAAAAAAATGAGAAAAAACTTGACAGGCAAATGAAACAGTCAAATTTACTCTTTCTATATCAATGATGGGGTTTTTTGCTTGTTTTTCATAGTATAGCAAGTAAACAAAAATAAGCTAGTCATGTAGTTCTTTTGTTGAGCACTATCAGTTGCCACTTTAAACTGGAAAATTGGGGATGACTCAACATCAACAAGGACATTGTTTCCAAAAATGTAAAACATCCATGTCATCAGTGCTTGTAAAATGTAAAATTGATCTCAATGTGTACTGGATTTTTGCAAAGAACAACAGAATTACAGTTTTGGGGGAGACTATTGACTGTATTAATAAGTAAGATTTATTTTAAAAAATGAACTATTACTACTTATGCGGGACCTCGATATTTTATATTTGGTTGACTAAATCAGGACATTGTTAATTTTTTTTTCTTTCCAGTTTCCACTTCCTAATTTATATATATATGTGTATGTACATATTACATACAGAACATGTTTGAATTACAAGCATTATATTAAATCTTTATAAATCATTTATATTAAAATAATGTCTTGACAATGTCTGTTTTAAAATGTTTCCTGAGTACCACTAGATAATCACTACTATACAAAAGGGCTAATGTGCCTTGTTCTTATGTTCACACGTGGGTGTTCATACATTAATAGTGGTGAGCACAATACTCTCCTTATCACCCATTCTTTACACACTCTACATAAGGATCAGTCAGAGTTGAGGGTGTCTGAAGTGTGCCTTTTCTTCTTAAGCAATTATAGAAGAGAAATAACTGTTTTCATTTTTTCCTTAGGGAGGTGCTGCTAGTGCATATGGTCAACACGCCTGTAGAGATGTAAGCTGGTTATATATGTATTTACTGACTGTTTATTACTATGCTTCTTAACTCATCTCTTCATTGCAAATTGCATTTGATTTTCTTTTGCAGAGCTATATTATTCTTCCTAAATATATTAAGGAAAATGGTGGTAGTCTGAAGTATTATTCTGAGATTAAAAAACAAAATTAAAAGATGTTACATTGTAATGTCCTCGAAGTGCGATCATTTATGTTATAGGGGCTACTCATCACCTATTATAAACACTTAATTTGTTAGCCTGCTAAAATGTCAGAATTCTTACTACATAGTGTTTTTTATCTGTGAGAGTAATTGTCTTTGGATATTGCATATTGTGCAGTATTATTTGTGGTTTTTTACAATCTTTGTGTATTAATCCAGTAACACTTTCATTAGTAGAGAAATTTTTGTCAGCCTCATTTATTTTATTTTCACTTGAAAACAGATTTATTTCAAAATCTAACATACTTTCCATCTTTAAAATCACAAAAACAAGTGAAAAAAGTCTATCAGAAAGACAACACACTGTAATGCCTGTTAGGAACTGAAACCCTAGCCAAGAAACTGCTTAATCATATGCTTAACTTCAAATATGTCATTAATTATATTAATTCCTAAATATTTAATATATTTTATATTTGTTTAATATGTAAGGGTAAACTGTATTTGTGATAGAGCAAGATTAATCTTATGGCTATAGTAGAATTTTGGAAAATTTTTACTTCAGCTTTCATTAAGCAATTTCAGTATACTTTACTATTGTCCTAGATTTATTTAAGTCTAGAGGTAATCAGTTTGAAGTGTACATCCTCTAAGGAAAAAAGCAATGACTTCTAGATATAATTAACAAATTACTGTATAAATAAATACCTGATTTATATTTTTATTTCAGAGTGCATCCTTATCCAGCAGTGGTCTTGCCTATGGCCAGGTAACTGTGTGCTTTCCAACATGTTTTCAGTTTCCTAAACTATTCAGAAACTAAGCAGTTATGCCCAACTTTTAGCAAACAATAGTAAAATTAATGGAAGGGGATAAAGGAGGACTGTCTTCAAATGGTTAAGTAATAACCATATCCGGAAATTACTTCAATAGATGTATTATATCTTTAGTGTATGTTGTAATATCAACCTTGTTAGAAGTTATATACTTATGTTTTGCACAAAAACTCAATTATATTTATTCTGTAAATGGACACTGTTATTATGATCTTGCAAAAGTCAGTGCTTTCTTTGATAGTTACTAAGGAATTAAAGTATTTTTTGTGGCTTTTATCTATGCAATTGTACGTATGGGTTCATGAAATGGAAAACATTGCTGCATGTTATTTTATGCTTCATTTAAAACATTTCTATTCATATGGCGCATCCAATTTATCCCAGTTTATATTTCATCAGTAGTTTCCTTAATTTGGGGGGACAGGTTCTCGAGTTTGGGTTGGCTTTTTTTTTGATAAAGGTAGAAAAGATTAATTATAATTTTCTTCTACCAATAGATTATTATTAACAGACTTCCAATTTGGTATTAGATTAAACATTTGCAGTTTTTACACAGTGCTGTGTAAAAGTAGCAAAATAATTGAGGTTTGTAGAAAAAAATTCAACCAATTCATTTATTTCAGTTGTTCATCTGTTAATTGACAATACATTAATAGTTTTATTCAGAATCTTATTTAGTTTGGTAATTTAAGGAAATTATGTTAGCTATAACAGTCTTGTGGAAAACAATGCTGTAGTTAGTTTGTCATACATTTACCTAAGTAAAAAATGGATTCTATATTCTTTACAGTCTGTCCCTTCAAGCAGTTCAGACTCCAGTAAGAAGGTAAGCACTCCTTTTCAATTCAAAGGGAAAAAATTCTTACAGTTGTAACTTGGCATGACTGGTTTTATTTCAGTGGTACTACAGTTCCTTTTACCAGTTAAGACTTTTCAAGGTTTTAACCCAGATTGGTTCATATGATTTGAATCAGTTTGGTTCTTACATGCCTTATACTAATAAGCGGTGTTGTAGTGACTTTTGTTGATAGTTGACTTAACTGTATATAAAATAAAATTTCATACATGTTAATGGGGATTTGTTTTAAAAAAGTTAGGATAGTGATTGTGATGTAATTAGGACTTTTAAGGATATAGATTCTGCAATTATTATTCAGATGGGGCTAGAGAATGAGTGTGACTCAAAGCAAGTGAAATCAATAGGATTCATATTACTGCTGAAGTGGAGTCATAATATTTACATGGACTCTTCCTCTCAGTTCAGTCCCCAGGAAGTTCAGGGCTAATACTATAGTGTGTTCACTAAACACACACTGTACTCATTCATGTCCTCACAGATATTTTTTTTTCATTTTAATTTCTCATTGTTTTAATAATTCAAAACATATTGATAGATTTCTTTTTTTAATACCTTGGGTTTAAAACCATAATACATCTCCCAGTTTTATACTAGAATTCTTTACTTCTGATAGCACCAACTTTCTTCTTCCTTTTTATACCACTAGATAATATGAACTGGTTTTAGTTTTTTTTTTTAAAAAAAAAAAGGGGGTGGAGGAAAAGCCTAAACAGAAGACACTACTACTGCATTTGGTTTACTTTTTCTGAACAAACTCAGTATTAAGTCTTTTTTTAGCATACTACTGAATAAAGAGAAAATAAATTGATCTTCAAGTTTGGGGTGGAAAGTTGAAGATCAAAAAGAACACACAGTATAGGCCAGTGGATATGGTATGATACATGAAATCCCACTTCTGCCTCTATAGCTGAGTCATTGTGAGACTGGGAGCAAGTCTTTTATCTCGTTATACTCTTGTGTAAAATGTGTATACTTATATATTCTTTTTACTTGGTAATGTGCATTAAATTTTTAAATAAAAATAGCATTTTATAAACATGATCATGCATAGCATTTTTATAAAAGTTTGTAAATTTAGAGAATTCAGTATTCTTCATTTTCCTAACATATTTAACTATTTAAATAAACTCTATGTTGAGTAAACACCTTCCTCTGATTTCTCTATAGGTAGTGGTCATTGCCAACAGCAACCCTTTTCCACCTGTGGTAAGCAGTTTTTCTCTACAGTGCTCAGAATATTGACTCAAAAAGCTTTCAAATATCTACATACTTAATTTGTCAGAAAGATTCCTGATATATGGAGACAACTCTTTGGCAGATAGGCTTTACCCTAGGTGCATAATTATCTTCAGGGAAAGCCAGTAGTAACATAGCTACAAATCTCGTGGTTGTGATTGCTGTTAGTACTTGCAGAGATACTGAATTAGCTGCAGATTCCACATCTTTCAATTCATACAGTCTCTGTGTTCCTGAATAGTTTAAATTTTCTGTTTCTATTGCAATTTTCTTTTGTAAATTCACTTCTACTCTAATTTTTAAACTATTCAATTTCCGCTCTGCGTACTAGGAACTCATACAGTCAGCCAAAAGTAAGTTTAGTCTTAAGGTGGTTAAAGTGAGTTTGTGTGACGTAACACTTGGTATGTATGCTTTTCTGATGTCTGGTTTCTAATCAAGCATATTGATGTTCTAACCTGAATGAAGATTCAAATGCGTTTGTTCTATGCTATCCTTTCCATATCTTCCTTTAACACTTGGTTGTGTATTGCATTCAAAAGGTAGGACCCTTTTTCTGCTGCAATATTCTGTTTGGATAAGTCCTTGTGCAAAATCATTAAAGATTGTTTTGTTTCATTTGCAGCGTCATACTTACCCCCAGGTAAGCATACTTTTTTCTTATGAGTTATATAATAGTAGCATAGTTTTTATGGGATCAAGCCAGTTGCCTCAGAATGGTGTCTACTGCCCTTTTACATTTGTCCCTCATGCCCCAGTATTCAACAAGCAGATGACTGGCTCAGGAATTTAATTCATATGTGTGGTGATATATGTCCAATGAAGGTGACAGTGAGATGTGTTGAAGAGATGATGGTGTCAGCTTCACTCACCACATTTGGAAAAGCTGAGCTGACTGGTAGTACAAAACAGGCATAGCCTGTGCTCTGCCTCTGTCCACAGAAGCAGTGATAGAAGCAGATGCAAGTGTAGAAAATTACGTAGTGGGGTCAGGCTGCATCCATAAACTTTCAGAGCTGAGGATAAACTACATTAATGCCGAGTGTTAAGAATTTGGTCCTCAGTACTTCACACATATCACCTTCCCCCTTATTCTCCCAAGCAAAATAGTACAACTTGGTATTTTCTGTTTAACTGCATTGCATTTAAACAAGTCAAATTAAATGTTCTCTGTTGTGGGTTTTGTTTTTGTTTTTGTTTTTCAGAGTTTGGGAAGTTCTGCTACTAGAGTCATAATACAGGTAGACATTCTTTCTCTGTTATATTTGAGTTTTAACTAAAGTGCTGTCTCAGTAAACTAAATAATGATTCATGTCTTTGGGAACAAATAAGTATGGATAACTTACAGATATCTTAGATATCCAGAAACTACAATGGTGGAGTAGGGTGTTTCTGTGGTTACAGCAAACTGGATATCTTACTTCATTGCTAATTAAAGACGACTGCAGCTGTTTTCTACAGTTATAAAATATGAAAACCTCTGTATTCTAATTCCATAGGGCTCTTAAAATGTGCAAAATTTAATCATCTTAATCTGCTCAGGAAGGCAGATGAGCCCTAGAATTTAAGCTTGAATGTTATTTGATGTTAAATCAAATATGCATAAATCATAACCTGCACAGTTTCATGTTCATTTAAACAGTTTATTTTTTTAATGGAAACAACTAGTTCAGCGTCACATTTTTTTAAAGTCCTGAAAGTTAGTGCTTCGGTAAACTTTTGTTTGCTGTTGTATTTATAACATTGCTTCTTGATAACCAGGCACTTAGAAAATTGATTACAATCCAATCTGATTAAGAGCATGTTTATATTACTCAGACATATTTTTTCTGGGTCCTTTTCACTTTTAACCTACCTACCATTCTTCATGGTTTAGGCTTTCTTTCCTTGATATGATAGTCATTCAGACTGTGACAACAAATTCTCACTTACATTGAAAGATCAGTAGCAGGTTACCCCAACTGAAATTTGTCTTTTCAAAATCACTGATGTCAAAATGCTTAGCATTAGATCCTTCCATAACTACTGACAAATTCTGGCAGAGAAAGGAATAAGATTTCCTTGTTACTTTATTTCTGAATTTAATTGTATAGTGTTTTGATTACACAAGTTTAATAATTTCAATGTGCATATATAAATAAAACTGAAGAATATTTGATTGTTCCCATAATCCATGTACTTCATGAGAATTGAAAGTTTTCTTGCAGTGACTTTTCCTTTAGTTAAATTGAAACTGTGACTTTTGAAGTTTCTTTTTTGACAAAGCCTTTGTCAAAAGTTTGTTGTGCTTATTCATTAAAAAATCAGTCATAATATGAATATAAATGGATATGAGTTTAAAGGCAATTTGTGTGATACATTTGAAGGACAGAATTATTTAAACTCACATGAAACACCACAATATGACACATACTATATTATATGTATTATTTTTTTATATTACTGTATTTGTGTATTATTGTATTATATGAGGAATTTCCATTAAGAAAATTACACCAAGATGTGTAAACACTTTTAGCGCTTTATTTATGAAGGATCTTTATATACTGAAGTACTGAACATTACAGTGCATGGAGGTGGCATAAATGAAGTAAGAAAGGACATAGGGAACTCTTTATGACTTTCAAACTGTCTGGTAGATATGAGAATAGAGTTGCTACTTGAAATGGCTTAGTACATAAGCAATGCCTCTTAAAAATAAACTTCTTGTTTTGTTCCTGTGTAGACTGGACAAAGAGAGCAAAGCAGCAGCGGTACATACCTTCAGGTAAGTGAACTTAAAAAGGACTTGAAATATTGCTGTAGACTTCACTAACACAGGGCCAGCACAACTTGGAAATACATTATTTCATAAGTTTTTAAATGTATTTCACAGGGTGCAGATATTTCTATTTTTCTGATTTTTCTTCATAAAATTGTCATCTGGTATTTGTGTTCGACTGTTGTCCTTTGAAATGCTCATAAATGTCTTTTCATGTGTGATTGGTTGAAATTATTGTATTCCACTCAATGTGTCCTCTAAAAGGTGCATAAAAGTCATGGCAGTGAGAGGAAGTAATTCTAGGCTCAGTACCACACTGTAAATCCCATACTGGTAGAGTCAGACCCCATGTATATTAGAACTCAAATTTCCAAAAATTGTGAAGGATAGCTGCTTATCCACATCAAAAATGATGGAGAATCTTAACTGTGGACCTACATGCAACATCTTTCAGCTTTACTTAAACCTATACAGATAAAAGCTACTTGTGTGAAAAACAAGCGTATGAATTTAACAAAAACTATCATAATAACATGAATTGCTGCAGGGTAACACATGAGAATATTCATAATATGAATTCAACTATGAAGGTTCTTCAGACATCCTTCGCTTTGAGGGGGGACGCAAATGTATGTCAAATTCTCTGTGCCACTACAACCAACCAGGAAAATGTTTCACAAGGATAAGTGTGACTTCCAGGGATAAAGGCCACAGGGAGGCCGGTATGCAACATCACAAATACTCAGAATGTATAAGGTTGGCAGTCTGCATCTCAATTCGACTCATTGCTTTTGCTGAGAATATTCACAATCTGATGTAGGATGTAGTTGCTTGCTTCTCCTACTGCAGGCTGGATCCCTGACAAAAGGGGAGTAACCAAATGGTGTCCTTGTCTTAGGGTGGGCCAAGTTACTCGGGCAGCAGCAGTTCTTATGGCCAGGTAAGCCAACTGGATGTTCCGTAGGAAGTTCTTCACTGGCCTCTCTGTGACCAGCATGACTGGCAGATTTTTGTCAGTTCCTTTGGTAGTCTGTGTCTCTTTTCGACTCATGGCCTTTGCTGAGAATATTCACAGTCTGCTGCACAGATGCTAGCATGCTGCTCTGTCTCCTTTGGCTCAGGAAGAGCCTTTTGGGGAAACTCTTGTGCAGCTAGCTGTCTTTCCAGAAACACTACACTCTTCACAAAAGCTTCCTTGTCAAGGTGATAATTATCTTCTTTTTTTTTTTTTTTTTTTTTTTTTTCCTTTTTAAAGGGTTACCAAGGCAGCCAGTCGTCTAGCCAGGTGAGACTTTTTTTGCTGAAATGTATTGCGGTTTTAAGTAGGAGCCTGCACTGTAAATGGACTTTGGGGTTTGGTTGGGTTGTTTTCCTTCTTGGTGTCACGGAGTGGTCCTGTATGGTGTTTCATACCACTGAATTACCACAAAGGAAAACAGAACATTGTACAGAGGAACTTTTAGTGGAAATGGGTTTTTCTGTTGCCACTATACTAAAACTACAGCTTAGTTTACAAATGAGTTCCTGTCTTTCTTACAGGGCTACCAGCTTCCAGGCGGCAGTTCCTATGGCCAGGTAAGCGTCAGTCAGTATACAACACTTGAGAAAGTTGAGTGCCATGGCACTGCAAAAGGTAGCAGATTTTAATTACTCTTTTTTTTCCCATTTATATTGAATTATTAAAAAAAAAAAAAAAAAAAAAAGAAAAGAAAAAAGAAAGAAAAGAAAGTACTCTCTGAATCAATTTCAAAATCTTTGTTGTGTAAATGACAGTTGTGTTTTCAATGGATATCTGAAGGAGGTGTGGGTTCCCGTTGCTATCTGATCTTTTCCATGCATATGGAACTTTACAGTTTACGGTGGAAACAGTCTATTTGGTGCTGTTTCTATTCCAGCTGATTTACATGGTACAAGACAAATTCATAGTGAGTTCTTCGCTGTCTCCTTTGGTCTCAGTACAGAGAAACAGTGTTGAGGAGCTAAAATAAATTGGGTCAGGATCCTCAGCTGAAGGAAGATTTGGTCTTAGAGCCTGCAGCTGATGAATGTTGACATCCCTCTACAGTTTTTTTGTGAAGTAAAGGGGCCCTAAGACAGCTATGAATTTATGAATCAGGATCTTTGTCAGATAGCAGAAACCAACAAGATAGTTCAAATCATTTTTTGGTAATCCTAGCCCTCATAACTCTCCCAGGCAGCTGTAGTACAGGTCTGCACATACGTGAAGCATCCGCTCTTTTTTTGACATTATGTTGAAGGTGGATTGCATCAGCAGCTTATAGTTACCCACAGTAACTTTCTATTATTGAAAGTTTTTCAAAAGGTACTGGCATCCTTGCCGAATTCATTTGACCTGCTACTTTTAATTGCATTCTTCTGTTTCTGTTTTATGACTCTATTTTTTTCCTAGAATTCTTTCCTAATTTTCTAAAATTACTTTTCACCTTTATTCTCCCTCAGAGGAGGAGAATTTTGCAATTGGGGCCCACCAAAAATACAAAGACAGGAAATCGGTATTCACCTACCATTAGCCATCTAAGCCCAGTGTCTGAGAAACAGCAGGCAAAAGAAAGAAAACAAGATAATGTTGCATCCCTCCAGTGTCCTGGAAGACCATTAGAGGACTGGAGTCCCATCTGAGACAGATGAAAAACTGCACTGTGGTTATCATTTGAGAAATACAGTGTGATCAGATATCCATCCAGAATAAGAAACACCAAAACAATTCAAGTTAAGCAGCAGAGCCTGTACATTCGCTGTCTTATACTGGTTTTTCTTCCCCACAAAGAGACAAACGTGGGAGAAGCATCAGCTTCACAAATACAATAATTACGAACCAATAATTCCTTCCTTACAGGGCTACCAGCCTCAAGGTGGCAGTTCCTACGGCCAGGTAAGCATCAGTCAGTCACCCGTCAGAATACAGCATCTGAGAAAGCGGAGTGCCATGACACTGCAAAAGGATTTAGCAGTCACTCAGAATTTGAACTTTAAAGGATATTCTCTCTGAAAGTGTGTATTCTCACACTCAGAATTTATCCACGTGCTATTTATTCATCTGGAATCCCAGCACGTGAAGTCACTGCATTCAGCATGATTGAGAGGGCCAGTAGTAAGTCCAGGCTCTTCATGCTGCCACGCGTAGCTTTAGGAAGTAGTTGCTTGCTTCTCCTACTGCAGGCTGGATCCCTGACAAAAGGGGAGTAACCAAATGGTGTCCTTGTCTTAGGGTGGGCCAAGTTACTCGGGCAGCAGCAGTTCTTATGGCCAGGTAAGCCAACTGGATGTTCCGTAGGAAGTTCTTCACTGGCCTCTCTGTGACCAGCACGACTGGCAGATTTTTGTCAGTTCCTTTGGTAGTCTGTGTCTCTTTTCGACTCATGGCCTTTGTTGAGGATAATGCAATCTGTTTTGTTTACAAATTACTTCTTCCCTTTCTTACAGGGCTACCAGCCTCAAGGTGGCAGTTCCTATGGCCAGGTACGCATCAGTCAGTCACCAGTCAGTGTGCAACCTTTATGTGATGTTCCCATACATGTTTTGAGAATTCTGTGGTTTGTTTCTTGAAATAATATAGTAAGGTCTCATGAGAAGTAAGAGTTGTGAACTTTTTTCATATTGGTATGGTAACAATGGGTTCATTGGAGCAGCTCTTTCCCACACAGAAAGGAGTGCATGTTGGTGTCAGGTTTTTGATGCACTGTAATATTCAACATACACTTATAATTTATACAAAATTTCACCGTAGGATATAGCTGGGCTAAAGCCCTTTAGAATTTAGTTCTCTATTTGAAATGAAGAAAATGAATATTTGGATTACTGAGTTGCTCTTTTTTTTCTTTTTTTTTTTTTTTTTTTTTCCCTGCAGGGTGCATCTTCTTATTCAGGTGGCACCAGTGGTTGTGGACAAGTAAGTCCTGTGGTCCAAACTATTTGAAAACCAGACCCAGCTTTCTTTATAGTAGTAACATATTTTTCACTAAGTTAAATAATGTTTGTTAGTTGGAATCTTTTGTTTTCATTGTTACATAGAATTATCTAGTGCAGAGATCAAGAAAGGCTGATATTGTTGGTCATTGTAACCAAAATGAAGCGACTTCTCCCATGTAGCATTGCCCACAGAAGACAAACAAGTAATGAATGATTCATCTGCCTGCTCAGTAAACAGATAAAGTCTTCACTTGGGAATGATTTTTAGATGTTGCTCCATTTAATTCCTATAGAAAGTGAGAGCATCAGAGAGTGGCTCCTGTGCAATAGGAATTCAATTTTTAGTTTTCACCCTGGTTCCATTTCAACTTGTTTATGCCTGCAACAGTTTAAAGATTGTGTCTTCAATGATGAGATCTCATGTGAAAGGATCATGGATGAGACCATGATAGTTCAAATATATATATTTGGGAAATCAATGAAAATGAAAGAGAAGTATAAATACAGAAATTTTTAGCAGAAGTATTTAGCAAAAAATATTAGGATTGGTATGAGTTAAGTATGAATGGAAATGCATGTGAAATCATCATAAGAAGTAGTGCAACAAGAACACAGCTAACAGTAATGAAACTCATAAACACTGAAGAATATGTTACTTCCACCAAAGCTGTGTCACTGGTTGACTTAGCAACAGAAGACCTGTGCACTAATAATGGGAGGGTGACAACCAGGGTAGAACTCATTGTGTCTACTGTTTCTCATCCTACCATCCTAACAGGAAGACTGACTGTAGCCAAAATATACCCAAAACAGGGAAATGAAAGGCATTTGGCAGCAGGCTTTTCTAAGTTCTATGGTGGGTGAATCTTGCAAGATTCTGAGGTAGATGGTCACACAACAATAACTGTTGATTCCTAAAAGGACTGTCCAAAAAAATACCCTACCATTTCATCTTTACAAATCAAGAGGGACTAGGGTGATACAGAGAGACATCAGTTGCTACACTACCTTCTTTTCCATGTGGCACACAAGTAGTCCTGCTTTAATCATCTGTGTGCATGTGTATGAGAATGACAGAAGGTAAAACCACACCCTTAAAAGGTTAAATAGAATTAAACTCATCCTCTGTAAAGTTTTATGCTGAGTTTTGTTACATTAAATCTCATATAAGAAAATTTAAGGTAGCTAATTACCTTTCAAGAAAATGAAAATTTGGTCATTTATCTTGTGGTTTGTTTCTTTTTTAACAGGGTGTTTCATATGATAGCAATCCCTGCCACCAGGTAAATGGCCTTCTTCCTCTGATTCTAAGATGTATGTAAAATTAGTTTTGCCACTAACTTAATTTAGTAACAACTTCAGATTCACAGAGTGCAAATCCATGTAATCTTACCAATTATGAGATTAGAACTCAATATCTTAATAAGCGCAGGAGCATCACAGGGGCTTGGGGTCTTTTTTCCCCCTTTTTTCCTAGCATTATGTCTGTGAAATGTCTAGCTCTATAAGATATTAAGGCCGGATTCTGAAAGAACAAACCTGCTGCAGAGTTGATCAACTAGCACTACTTAAATCAGGACTGGAGGTCACCAGCCTCTCTGTGGACTTTTTCCCATCAAAAGTCAGAAAATATTTTAGGACTGCCACTAAGGGTTCCTGAATCAGACTGGCTTAACAATTCATTCAGTTTGTGCAGTGACATACAGATAGCTACATGTGTGTTTGTTACTCATTTCAGTGTTGAAACTCTAAAAACAACTATCCTAAAAGATGTCTGCTGTGTTTAAAGAAACAATCTCTTTAAATGTTAAAAATCAGTAAGAAAACAGCAATAGACTATCTCTTTTTAATTTGCGATACTTCTCTTGATTCCTACTGATCTTTCACAATAAATAGAAAAATTGGATAGATTCATTCTATTAACAAATACCACATCTTAGCAATATATGTATATTCTATATTTATAAATATACAAACAACATAGATGTTGCTTTAATATATTATTATAATGTATGTACAATATGCTTATTCTCACTGCAACTTGAAACAATAATATGATTTAGGTATATCATTTTTTTTTCAAGTTTTTTTGTAAAGTGGAGCTATTTCTTTCTAAGACTAAAGGAAACACATTTTGTTCTAAAAACTGCTCGAACATTGAAAGATAATACTTTTAATTTCATTTTCTGTTGCCTCTTCTGGACAAACTCTCAGCCACATTTTAGTAAATAGCAAATATCCCACTCCCTTCAGTAGTTCTGGATTTCACTTTTCTTATTATGCACTTTTGATGCTAATACTTCTACAAAAGTGTCCTCTGATTTCACTTGGAGGAGTTACATTCCTCTTCTAAAGAGGGCATATTGAAATATACAGAACATTTTATTTAAAACCTTTTCCTCAAGGCCACTGTATCTCACAGATCACAGCTTTCTGTGTAATAATGCTACCAGGGGAATTTTTCATTCCATTTGTATAAATTAGGTTTCCAGTGTACGAGGCATTACTTAAAGATAAATGTTTGTGGTTCCCTGACATAAGTCTTTTCTAGTATTTACTTCTGCGCTATTGGCAATCTGTGCTTACTACATTAGAAATCATATCTATATTGCATATTTGCCTCTGTTCCTTACTCCTTCTAAGCAAGTATTGTAGCTTTCATTAAAAATAGTCCATAGGCAAACAGTAAGTGTCTAAAGCATGTATAATTCTGGTCTAATTTACAGGATGTATCACAGGGTGGTCAGGTAGATAGCTCTTTATTATCCATTGGTAAAAGCTTTTTTAAGCAGTTCTACTCCAGAGTATAGTTTTCTTGATCATGAGGGTATGAACTCTTGCAGAGTCTCCCTGACTCTAGCCTGTAACACATTCTCTTCAAATATACTTTTTATCAGCCCTGAAATTCCACTTACATAGAAAGAACTCAGCAACCTAATAAAGCTATCTCTGTGGATTCTGATCAAATTCAGCTCTCCAGCATTATAACTGTTGCTGTTTTGTTTTCACAGGATGGATCATACTCTTCACAAAGCTATGATGGTAGCCAAGTAAGTACTAGTTTATTATTTCCTTCCACTGAAGTTTTATTTCACACAGGTTCCACTGTGGCTGATCAACATCCAATATGCAATATTGTCATATTAATTCTAATTTTTACTTTATTAGCAGAGTGGATCATCATTCTCATACAGTTACAGTGGCAACCAGGTAGGTAGAACTTGGTTTTCTCCTGGTAAGAATTTTTATATCTGATAAGTTATCTAGATATCTAGAAAGTTGTATTTTTTCAAGGGAATCCCAGGTAACTTTTTATCCCGGCTTTACAGCCTACAGAAAAAAATCACAGTTTCTTCTGAAGTAGGGTTTATATTTGTTTGTTTTTTAGGGTGGATCCTACTCACAAAACTATGGTGGTGGCCAAGTAAGCAATGCTCTATTTCCCTACTTGCACATCACTTCCTACAAGCTTTAGCTTGTGCTCAAAATCAAGTTTTTTATATCCTAATTTTCTCTGATTTTGGTTTGTTTGTTTGATTGTTTTAAAGGGTGGATCATCTTCCTCAGATGGCTATTATGATAGTAAGGTAATTAGTATTTTATTTCTGCTAGCTGAATATTATTTCATGCTAATCTTTGTAGTCCCTGCATCTTCTTTCTCAAAGATGTAATTAAACATAGTAGTTTATGTGCTCTTTTTGTTTTGGATTGTTTTGTTGGGTTTTTTTCTTTACTGAATAACGGAACATTCCCTGTAAGCAACTATTGCAGCCATGTATTTGTGATCCATATTTTCCTTATAAAGATCTTTAATTTAACTCAGGGTTTTTTTTGCATGTGTCTCAATTCTGTTTTGTGGAGTACAATATCAAAGTGTGCTTTTAACTGTCCATTTTTGTGAGGAAATAACTGGTATCTGATGTCCTTCTAGGACTCACAAGATTCCTCAGATGATAATCCCAATGCTTGTGATGATGTGAGTATGCTTTCTCTAACATATTTTCATCACAACTTTTTTCATGCCGATGGGAAAATATTGCACCGTTACATGCAGTTTTGTGAGCAGAATGATCCAGAAAGAATGTTGAGGTCCCATACTAATAACTGTTTCAGCAACTGCATGTTTTCTTACTGAAAATTGTCATATAAGTGTTTACAGATATATTTTGTGCTTTTAAATGCATTTAACTTGGTGAAATTAAATACAGATAAAAATATTTCAGTGGCTTTACAGTAACAGCAGATTTTGCCTAAAATCTAAGGGTACATTTTACAGTAATTTTTTTTAAAAAAAAAGAAAATCTTATAGACAAGCTTTAAATATATGCAGTGAGGGAAAGAAGAGAAATACAGAGGCAGGTATTCCACTGCTTTTCATGTTACATTTCTACCAATCTAAAATTGTTATAAAAAATTTTTTCAGACTGGAATGGTAGGATCTCAAACTAATTTAGCCAAGGCTCTAGAGAATGTAAGCAGCAAAATATTTCTGTTATGTCTTTATACAATATCAAAGAATCAGGTTTCTGTAAGCTTACTGTATTTAAATAATTCTTAAATAAATAATTTATTCTTTTCCAGAACGACACTACCTATAGTGCCAGTGGTCGGGTAAGTGCCTTTTTTTTTTTTTCTGCAGTATTAAAGTTCTTATGATTAATGACAGTGTTAGTAACTGAAAACTTCTACTAGACCTGTGGGCCTCTAATTGTAGTGTATGATTGCTTTATAATACCCTTCAAAAAGCTAATTAAAGAATGAGATACCTGATGTTAAATTTCTCTGTGCTCAGTCCCTTCTAGCTGTTCTCAAGGCTACTGCACAATTATTTAACACTTCACAATACTCCTAAGTATATATACTAACACAGGGGGTTTTTGTTGTATATGCAGTTTGACTTGATAGTTATTTGGGAATTAACCATCTGTGTATGTGAAGCATGTAGCCACTTCAACTTTTTACCACTTGCTCTAATCTAACTCACTTAGTATTACTAGTATTGTAAAGTAACATTTATCCCCTGGTAATTCTCTCTCTGTCAAGACTTTCCATCTGACCTACAAGCAGTGATTAACATGGATAGATCATGACCAAGCAAATATACTGTTGTGTAAATGAATTACATTTTTCTATACTTCTTTCTGTTCATAGAAATTTTTTCCATTACCACCTCCTTTTGTTTTACTGCCACCTAGAGTAACCTTCTGCTATCAGCTACTTGCCTTTAGTTATCAGCCATATACTTTACTGCTTCATTATTTTCCCTATTTTTCATCTCTAATACTTTGGTACTGCACGAGACATGTATACTTGGAAGTAAGGACAACTTCTGAAAACATCTTTTGTTTTTGCTTGTATTTACCTTGAATACATTGCATTAGGTTTAATCCAAAAAAAATCCTTCAGCAACAAGCCCTGTTTAAGTGTCTTATGACTTCCTCCTTTGTTCACAAAAGATGCTATTATTCACTTGGTTATCCCTATCCAGTGCATATTGCTGGACTTCATTGTAAAAGAGTTCATTTCAAAACATTCTCACAAAGAAGGGTGGGGAACATTCAATAAAAAAAACCCAAAAATTAATTATACAGATTGTTCTCTAAATCACAGTGGTTGAACTGAGGGAGTCTCCCCTAGGCAGGAACTTCCAATGAAGGAATGATAAAGTGAAAACAGATGATGATATGCTTTTTAAGACTCTTACTGGTAGTAAAATTACATTTGCCTGTCCCAAAATATGCCACCTTGGCAAGTTTGGGTAGGTTTTTTATGAATATTTTGTGTAGTTGGCTGCATACATAAAATAATAACTGGCTTCTCGCTCCTGTACAGAGTTCTGGTTGTGCAAAGAAGAAAGTTGTTGTTGCTCGAGTAAGTAACTTCTTTTTGGTTGTTGGTTTTTGGTTTTTTTTTTTTTTTTTTACTGCTTGTAGGATTTTTCCCCTAACTATATCTCATTTGTCCCAATTATGCCTATTTTTTCCCTAATTATTTTTGTCCTAATTAATACTCTCCTATTTAAGGAAAAAGTAAAATACAATAGCTTAACTATTTTCTCTTCAGGTGAATTTACTTTAAAGGATGTATGTATTTGAAAAAAAGACATGAAAACCCTGCTGTGAGTTATAGGGCAGCTCAAATTCCTGTTCTTCAGGAAGCACATACATAATTGGTCCAACCTAAAGTTCAAACTAAATGAGTGTCATAAAAACTGAAGACAGGTAAAATTTTAGCTGAAGTAAGATAGAATAATGAAGTAAGAAAGAACAATGTTAATTTACTGTGCTCAGAATGTTGTGGAAGAGATATGGATATATGTATTGTATAGCTTCAAGTCAGACTCAGCAGTAGCCTATAAAAATTATGTGCAAGTAACCTTTTATTTTATAATAAGACATTCCTTCTCTCTCTTTCCTTCTCATTGTCTCTTTCTTTCTCTCTTTCTTTCTCTCTTTCTTTCTCTCTGTCTTTCTTTCTCTCTGTCTTTCTTTCTCTCTATCTGTCTTTCTGTCTGTCTTTGTCTTTCTCTCTGTCTTGCATTTTCTCTCTGTCTCGCTTTTTCTCTCTTGCTTTTTCTCTCTTGCTTTTTCTCTCTCTCTCTCAAGGCTCTGGAGTTGTTAGAAATAAATAATATGGGAAAAAAAGAGTGCCTGTCGCCGATCCTAGAATTTTCATCTCCTAAAATTATATGTCTTTTGTTTTTTACAGGATACATCCCATGTTTTGAGCAGAAGAGACTATGGTGTACAGGTAAAACACTCTTGTCAATTTTTGTCACTTTTTTGAACTACTGCTGGTGTTAGAACTCCTCAGTGTACTACCTACAAAAAGAAGAATAAGGCTCTAGTTTCCACAACAGAGTAGTCTGTTTAGGGTTAAATAGTTCTGTCCCAATAGAATTATGTATTTCAATTCATTACCCTTAGAGAAAAATAAGTCACTTCTTTTTTCTTCACAGAACGAGTCTTCTACTTCAAATAGCAGCCACACTAACCTCCAGGTAATAACATAGTGTCTACTGCATGATCTCATTGCAAGGAGCTTTCTGATAAATTATATTTCATTTCTGAAAATTAGGTTCCACTAATTTATCTGTGCTGAAGGGTGCTATTTTGATTTGGCAGCACTTTCCCTATAATCTTACAATTTTGCACAGTTGTGAATAATGATAATGGCCCCAGAATATATTGTCTCCTCTGTTCCTTCATTACACTGAGCAGGTAAGCATCACAGGTGTTTCTTTACATAACATTTTGTAAAAGTTGTTTGCAAAACACAAAATAAATAGTTTTAGAATATTTTTTTAGAAACAGTCCTGCTCTAGTGGTGGCAATGGCCAGATATGTATTTCTGTTTCATTTAGAATTTGGTAACAAGATACATCTAGGTGATTATGTAGTTCTTTTAGAAAAGTAGGTCCAACTTTCATATTCTGTAGACTTATGTGCTACTGCAGCAGGTAATATGTTATAGAATTATGTGAAATTTAACTGATCCAGAGTAATATTTTGTACTATGTTGGTACTCACCAGCTTCCCAGAGATCTGGAATCCCACTGTGCCCAGAATTACGCAGATGTAACACTAGCATAATCCTCTCTCTCAGAGAGTTTGGAGTCTAATTAAATAGTACAGTAAGACCTCTGAGCTCCAGTAAGTAACAATTTTCTCAATTAGTTTTCCTGATACCCATTCCCTGTGTATTGTATCCAGTCACTAATTAAGTTTCATCCAAATTTATGTTTTCATAATGATTCATACAGAGAGTTCTGAACAGATAATGTTTGTTGGTGCAAGGAAGTAGTACAAGTTTGTCACCTTACATCTCATTATAGAATTTTATACATGTTACGTTCTGATAAAATACTTCTATAAAAAAATAACTGGTTTCTTCACAGGGTGGATCATTTATTGCAACCCAAGGTGGATCAAATAGTCAGGTCAGGATTTTCTCTATTTTTATCTAGTTTTGTCCAGATAGCTTTCTGGTAGTTAAACTAATTAAATTCAGGAGTCAGAGTTTAAGTCCAGTAATTTTGCATGGGAGATTGGTGATGTTATACATTAAATTGTAAATGAAGTGACCATGTTCAGATTAAATTTATCTGAAATGGTTCTCTGAAATCACTTCTTTACAGTCTTTCAATTTCACACATGGTTTATTGATGAGAGCACAATGGTAGTTCTCCATACACTTGACTACCCAGATAATTCTCTCTTGATGAGGCATCTGTCTTTGAGACACAGCACTGAGATGTAGTATTGGTCTAACTTGCAAAGCAAATTTTAAATGTATAGAGCTATGCTGTCCTCTCATTTCTTCTAGGTATAGGAAAGGTCACAGCTACTCTGTAGTCCCAGTCTTTCTTCCACTGAACACAGATTCACATCTGAAATGAGATTTTATTTTAAACTTTCACAAAGCAATAATTGTTTCCTTTTTTTTTTTATTTCATAGGGTGGTTGCATTTGTCCTGATGGAAGCAGTGGTAATAGCCAGGTAATTCTTTTTTCTGAGTTTATACTTTCACCTACATAGTGGAGTATTTTGAATTAATCACCTAGTAAATATGAACACTTGGGTAATACTAAACATTATTGATAATTTCCTTAATATGGATAGAATTATATTCAATTAAATGGAAGAATGAGTCCCACTTTAACTGCATAATTACCATTTGGCCACTAACTTTCTGTAACTGTCCTTGGTAAACCAGACATTCTGTCAGTTGACTGTTATGTCCTAATTATTCATTACTTTCAAAAAACAGTCAATATGTCCTGTAGTAACCACAGAATTTAACTGCATCCAACTTAGGTTCCTTGTCCTTCTCACTGATACAATAAAATATTGTGACTAAAATGCCAAAATCTGATAAATATTTCAAAATATTATATCTTAAATCAATATTTAAATTACTCTTTCCCATAAAGAGAATCACTGTAATTTCATATTTAGTGGCACTGAATAAACTTTTCTCTTAGGCAGTGCCTCCATGCCAGTAAAAAAGCCCAAGGAGTGCAGTTACATGGGCATTATAGGCTAGTTTTACTAGACTTCTGGTTTCACTTGGCTTTGCTAGGTGAACTTGAATTTTAAAGTCATCTATCTTCTACCTGAAAACATATTTTTGAAGCTTTTATTGAAGCTGTATTTACATAAACCCATTTGAATGGTGTAATATATTTTTAGTTTTCAATTTCAACAAGAATCATATTGTGTATTATTATTTTTGTAAAAAAGCATACTATTTAAAAAAAACTAATTGTAAATAACTAACTGCTTTCTGAACATAACTGGCATTAACATATAGCAACAGTAGTTTTGGTCAGGTAAAATACTGCCTCTTTCATATAATTAAGACTGAGAAGTAATCATGACCTACATGTTTTAAAATATAGACTAGTCTTTTAAAATAACTAATATTGAAACCTCATCAAGGAAAACCTTTTTTATTTGTTGTGTGATTATAATGCTATATAAGTAAATCCATTCACAACTGAAAAGGTGGACACAAAGTTTCATTCTAATAGGGCCTTTTTCTTTGCATGCTTAAATTGGCACAAAAAGAGGCTTAGTTTTTAATGGCAAAGCAACACACCTTGGCTAGGGGGAGGAGAGTGTATTTAGTTGCTATCAAACATGAATTTTCAACATGAAGAAAACAAGACATCTAAATTGGACACGTTAGAAAACCAGTTCTCAGTGCAGATGTGTCCCCTTAGAGACACAAGAGACTTGAATTTCAATTTGTGATAGTATCAGCTGATAGAATTAGCAATAGTCTTTATCGTTGTCTTCACCCAACAGTCAAGTTCAGCAAACTGCAAAGGAATAGACTGAATTAAAAATCAGAATTATTTTAATTGTCTGTCCAGGGTCAATCCTCTACATATGGCAGTAGTGGTGCCTAAGATTATCATGTAAACACATTGGCCATAATAGGCAAGTTCATTCTTCTGAATAAAAAACCCAAGGTACAGGTAAATGTATATGTATAAATAAACCAGCATTCATAATTCTTACGTAAGAGACAGTTATCTATTTCCTTGAAGATTCTTCAGCCAAGGAGGAAAATTCCTGTAAAAAACTTTCTTCTAAACTCAAAAGCTATGAGTTACATGAAGGTCTCTTCAACCCTGAAAATATTATAAATTAAAAGTCAAAGCGATACTTACTTAAACTATGTTTTTTCAAAGGAAACAATGGGTTTCCTTATGTGGATCCTCAAATTCTCCACACTGTAGTTATTCTACTTTTTCTCTAAGCCTCATATAAAAACAAGAGTTCTGTCTACAAATAGTCTCTGAGGAAGCAGTCTAACCGTAGAGTAATACTTTGTTTTGTATATAAAGAAGATGTGACTGTAATAATGAATGTTACATACTGGTAAATACTCTTCTCCTTTTAATTGGTGAGCTGAAAAATCTGCTCTCCTAAACCTTATTTAGACTTTTTAAGTTCAGCATTCTGGCAGTTTTTAAAAACACAATCAGGGTCATGATCATCTACAACAATATAGAGTCTGCCAGATAAAACATGCAATTCTGTAATTAGAAAGAGTAAAATGAAAAGTTACTATTTCTTTTAGGCCTTTTAACCTGAACAGAAAAGTACCTGCTAAATGTTTCCTTATCTCTAACAAAAATAACCAGTGTTGTCTTTTAATGATTGCAGTAATATCCTTTTTGAAAGTTACATTTTGAAAGAATAGAAATTCAGAAATAGACTCACTAAAATGTCTGTTTGCAAGAAAATAGCTAGCCTGTGTTTTCATTTCAGGGAGCCCCAGGTTCTTCACACAGCACATACTCTGGTAACCAGGTAAACATTCAGATAAAATGCTCTATTCAGAAGCTCCATCTCAAACCCTTCCTGAAGGAGTAGTGAAACATAAACCAGTAACCCATTCTGTCTTCTGCACAGGGAGGGCCTTCCTTCTATCCTGGAGGATCCTATGGGCAGGTAGTTGTTCTTCCTCCCTCACCAGGATAACAGAGACTCCCACCATCCTGGTTCCTTCAGCCCTGATATTGTGGGTGCCCTGGCATGCTATAATTACAGACCTGGCAGCTGTCTGTTAGAGTAGAAAAGTTAACCCTGAAGGAAACTAGTGGTGTGAGGTTTGACAGAGAACAGTATGGAACAGTATCTGCAGTTTTCCTTGCAGAATTAAAATTTCAGCAGGCTAAAAAAATTACCACCAGAAGACTTCTTTAACAATACTGATTTTTATTTAGGTGCATAAAAGTTAGCTTAAAACTGGGAGAAAGGCTGTAAAATGAGAACCAGATACACTGATATTTAAATGCCCATCTTGTCTGAAGAAAATAACTGGTCTGCGTTTTCCTTTCAGGAGGGCCCAGGTTCTTCCGACAGCTCTTACTCTGGCACCCAGGTAAATATTCTGGTCACTGTGCCTGCACAGGAACAGTCCAAAAGTCTTCCCTGAGAGAACATTTCAACTACAAACCAGTATATTTTGATGTTTTCTGCACAGGGAGGGTCTTCCTTCTATCCCGGTGGATCTTATGGACAAGTAAGTGTCCTTTCTTGTTTGTAAAAACAAGACAGACTTCTGGTATTTTCATTCCTAGATTCCCCATATAGTGGCTGTTGTGAAATATAATACCCTAGACCTAAGTAAACCATTTGTAACTTACAACATGAAGTCTGTCAGAGGAAAAGACTAAGTTGTGTTTACGACTCCCATGGAATGATCTTTCATCTAGATAAGAAAATTAGTGATAAAAAGTTCCTTGTTCTTTAACAATATTGGCCTAAATTGAGAATGAGATACATTGCCATATACACTATCCTGTTTGCAAGAAAATAGCTAGCCTGTGTTCTCATTTCAGGGAGCCCCAGGTTCTTCACACAGCACATACTCTGGTAACCAGGTAAACATTCAGATAAAATGCTCTATTCAGAAGCTCCATCTCAAACCCTTCCTGAAGGAGTAGTGAAACATAAACCAGTAACCCATTCTGTCTTCTGCACAGGGAGGGCCTTCCTTCTATCCTGGAGGATCCTATGGGCAGGTAGTTGTTCTTCCTCCCTCACCAGGATAACAGAGACTCCCACCATCCTGGTTCCTTCAGCCCTGATATTGTGGGTGCCCTGGCATGCTATAATTACAGACCTGGCAGCTGTCTGTTAGAGTAGAAAAGTTAACCCTGAAGGAAACTAGTGGTGTGAGGTTTGACAGAGAACAGTATGGAACAGTATCTGCAGTTTTCCTTGCAGAATTAAAATTTCAGCAGGTTAAAAAAATTACCACCAGAAGACTTCTTTAACAATACTGTTTTTTATTTAGGTGCATAAAAGTTAGCTTAAAACTGGGAGAAAGGCTGTAAAATGAGAACCAGATACACTGATATTTAAATGCCCATCTTGTCTGAAGAAAATAACTGGTCTGCGTTTTCCTTTCAGGAGGGCCCAGGTTCTTCCGACAGCTCTTACTCTGGCACCCAGGTAAATATTCTGGTCACTGTGCCTGCACAGGAACAGTCCAAAAGTCTTCCCTGAGAGAACATTTCAACTACAAACCAGTATATTTTGATGTTTTCTGCACAGGGAGGGTCTTCTTTCTATCCCGGTGGATCTTATGGACAAGTAAGTGTCCTTTCTTGTTTGTAAAATCAAGACAGACTTCTGATATTTTCATTCCTATAGTTTCCTTGAAAGAAAGAAAACTCTTTCTTGAGGGAACCAAAATAATAAACTCTATTTTCTGTACAGGGAGGGACTTCTGGCTATGATGGCAACAGTGAATCCTACGGTCAGGTGAATACTTCTTTTTCTATTTGTGTAAAAGGTGTTCAGGGCCCTGCCTCCTATATACAGCTGTATTCTCTATTTTGGTTCTCACTATATTTTAATGAATGTAGGGGTTTTTTTTGCAAAGTGAAATTGTATATACTTTTAACTAAGTAGCCTGAAAGTTTATAGGGGAGTACAAAGTGAGGTGCCTTCAACTGTTAAAGTTAATTTTCCTCTACAATGCTAGCTTTGAATTATCTGCAAATGAAGGTCTCTTCAAAAATGGAAACAGAGTTTGAGTTAAAAATATGGTAGTGTTTTACAGGGACATAACTGTGAGTTACTCAATAGTCATTCTGATAACTAAGTAAATATTCATATTTTTTAAATCTCCTCAGAAGGAGATCCCTACAGTAAGTGTCAGGAAAAAAATAGTCTATTTGCAATATGAAAATTATTTATGCTTTCTGAACAGGGTGGATCTTCCACATATAGTGGTGCTGGATCTTATGGTCAGGTAAATCTTGTTTGTCTTATACATTAAAAGCTTAAGCTCACTGTGTTGTTTCTTGTGTGCACTGGGTTCTATATGTCAATTATTTTTAAGTGATGACCATGGAAATGCCATTTTACCCTTTTGTTTCTCTTTACTTTTACAACTCCAAATGTTTCCACAATGGGAAAGGTGATGCACTGTAGACACTATCCTGCTGACTGTGCCACTGTGATTATTCAATGATTTAACTACTTTATTGTTTATGTATTGGCTCATTCAAAATAAAAATATTTTGTGCATTTACTTTACACACCTTATGCAGAAGCTATTGAAAGTCTAAGGGAATTCACACGCTATATTTGAAGTCTATATTTATTGACATGAATCTCATTGTGGGATCATTCTGTAGGGACTATCTTATGTTTTGTTTAGCAATACATTTTAACAAGCCAAAGTCATACAGAATTGCTTATTAAAAATAGTAAGACATATAATCCAGATTGCTTTCTCATAGGGAATTGTGTCTTGTTGCTACTTCTAGTACAGGATCTAGAAAGAAAGCACGAATAATGGGATTTCTTAATGTAAAGAATGGTTAATTTTGCAAATCCACAATTATCTAAAATTTTTCCTTATAAAAATGCATGTTTACAAGGAGAGTCGGGGGGTTTTTTTAACCTCTTCTGCTTAAGCAATGGGTAAATTTACGCATTTTTTCTTTTCTTGCAAATTCCCTGGTTTAGGTAAAATTGAAAATTCTAAGTGGCTGGTTATTTTTATTCATCTATTTTATATTCTCCACAAATAAGATCATGTAAGAGTCCTATTTACATGAAAATACATGTTTTCCCATTATTTTACAGGATTCGTCTTCCATAGGAAGCAGTGAAACTGATGACAGTGTAAGCATTTCTTCTTAAGTATATCAAATACTACCTTTTGAAGTATTTAGGTGCTTACATGGACCTTTACCTTATCTTACCATCTTATCTTCAACACCTCCTTCACAGTGCATTCTAATAATCTGTGTTGTTTGGTAATATTCTGCCATAACTTACTTGAAATAATATTTTTCTATAGATAAAGGAAAATGTGGATTTAAATTATGTCAGATTATTGTGCTATGGTATGATAAAGATTTAGCAAATTAAAATTGCAATTTCAACAGTTCTGACTTGTAACAATCATACTTTTTGAAGCAGTTATTAGAAGTAGCATTTACAAAGGAAGCTCTTTTATTTCATGATTTCAATTGAAAATCAGTATTAGTATATGCTCATGGTATAAAACACAAACAAATACTTCTAACTTCCAACAATTAAATTTGGATACATTTTCACTGAGTTTATTTAATACAGTAACATTAATTTAACTACAAAACCAGTGCTATCAGTATGTCAGATCAGCCATTCTTGTTCTTAAGGGTTATTTTTTGTGATTTATTTCCTCAGGAGTATATTCCATACATGTTTACTATTCTGGGGTCCTATAATAATTTCCACAAATTAAGACTTTCAAACCTAATTGCTCTTAAAATACAGATTTAATTTAAAATTCAAATTTTCCTTTTTTTTTTTTTTTTATAAAACACATCATATTTTGTTCTTAATCAGTATCTCATTTTATTCTTTTTCTACAATACAACTTTCCTTATTGATATTGCACAACTAGTTCCCTCTTTTTCTATCTCCAGTTCACACCAAACTTCATTTGTGTTTTATCAATGCCAGATATCAAGTTCTTTCTTATATATATTGTATAGGAACTGTCAGTTTTCATGTAGTGTGGTGTGAACTGCTTGCTTTTCTGTTTAAGAACATGGCTTTTCTCCCAGCCAAAGTATATTTCCTATTAACTCTGGTCAAGCTGTTTATAAAACTTTGTAAGTTTAATATCTTGTTTTCTCAGAGTCTTGAGTAATTGACTGTACTGTACCTGGATTTCTAATAAGCCTGTTTTCCAGCACCCTGGTTTGTAGGAAATTGTTCTCCACACATTTTTATAAATTCAGCTGTGCATTTCATCCACAAATACAGTGTGTCATTAGTTTCAACGCAGTTTCCGTATCAAAATTTTTGTGTGGTTATTCATCAAAGATAAAATATGAAACAAACTAAGGTATGAAAGAAACTGAAGTATAACAATATTGGTGTATACCACTGAGAACCAAGATGGCTGTGAAGATGTTGATGCTTTCCCCTATAGCATTCTAACAGGCAGTAACATAGATAGATATGTGGTCTCATTCCTTTATTTTGCTATATCAGGATTTAGCTTTCCAAATAAAGTAATGCTATTCTCCAGAAATGAGCAGTGAAAGAACTTAAAAGAATACTGTTTATCCTACAACCTATATCTTTAACCTTCCCAAAAAGCAGTTATCTTTTCCTTCCACCTGTGCTTAGAAAATCCATGCAACAACTATATTCTAATATTTTTTAGGATTCCACCTCACCATCTGGCAGCCAGCAGAGTGAACGGGTAAGCACTCCTTCCTTACATGTTGCCAGGGTGTCTGCCCCAGTGCTTGGCACTGCTAGCCACCTGAATTATATCTTGTATGGAATCTGGTGTGGCAGCTTCCAGTGTGAGATAGAAAGTCCTCAAGCACAGGGGGAGGGAGGATATGGCTAAAGAGTTAAAGTACTGCTAGAAATCACACCTGATGCTGAGGTGTGCTCTTGAATCTCAAACTCACATTACAAACACGGTACCACAGTTTACTTGTTCAGGTTCCTGCACTTTTTCACTCATTGCCTGACTATAAAAGGCTTCAATACCATGATTTGTGCAGAATTTATCCTAAGTGAAATGCTTTGCTTTCTTTTTCTGTATGACTGACTTAGGAGGGCTTCCATTTTCCTGTCAGTTTTACATGGCATTCATTTTATTTATTCTAATGAGAATTAAATGACACAGACTGCGAAATTGTTTTGTTGGAGATATAAGAGCTCTTTAATCTTTGTATACAAAAGTATATCTTCCACGAAAAGAGCAGTTATCAACAGGCATAAAGGGGCATGTGCTGTTTTCTAGAAACCTTTATTTTGTTGTTCTTGAGTAATCCATGACAGAAAATTAAAGAATGTGGAGAAGCAAGGAGGAGTGTTCAGTTTCCATCCTGATTTTTCCATTCTACAAAAGAAAGGAAGTTTTTGTTTTTATTATGTAATTTCAATACATTTTTCCAGGATTTTTATTCCCCAGGAGGCAGCCAGTCAGGTGGACATGTAAGCATCTATTTTATTCATTATTTTTTTGAAGTTCCCTTCCAAAATTACTGTTCTATTTAGAAATTATCCCGATGAGTAAATTATACCTGTTTATATCCTAGAATTTCTTATGAAGTTTGGCATCATAACTTGTGAAACCAAAGAGCAAACTGTTTTTTAAAAAAATAATTAAAATTTTTAGAAATGTGTGTATGACTATTCAACAACATAGTCTTGTTTTCCATAAGCTATTTTAAACAAAAATAAATTGGGTCTACCTTTTGCAGGGTTCATCTTCTCAAGGTGGTGGCTACTCCAGTGGACAGGTAAATACTAACTCTTTGTATTTTTTATATTTGTATCTGTTATACAAAATATTGAGTGCTCATATTGCATTACTGCAATTTTTATCTGGGAGCAAGGTTCATTTGGTACTCAAACACCTTACCCTTATATATGTCTATGTAATAGTCCAAGTGTAAACATAATGGTTAAAATACAGTTCAGGTATTAAGTGGTGGTCTAACACCAGGAAACAAATGAAAGTAATAAATATTTGGTATTGATTTATATTTTTAAAATATAAATTAAGTGGTTTTAATTTTTTTCAGGACTCATCCTCATCTGGAAGCAGCCAGTATGGTGGGCAGGTAAGAAATTTTTCTTCAGTGTTGGTTTGGTTTTGGATTTTTTTCCCCAACGTACATAGTTCAAGAAAATATTACCAGATTGGTAATACCTAAGTCTCCAGACTACTGTGGGGTTTTTTAATCCTCATTAATCTTTCTGTAGAATAAATTGGGTTCTTAACCAGATAAATCTTTTCAAACGTAGTTTAGAGAGTAAAAGACAATACATTGTAATCAAATATGCATGTCAAACTTAAAGACAGTCTTTTAAATGAGAATATAACATTTACAGGGTTCAGCTTCTTCAGGAGGCAGCCAGTCTGGTGGACAGGTATGCTTTTCTTTCTCCACACCATTCAGCTGTGCTAGTGTCAGGCACTCACAATTTACTTTGCCTATCTTCCCTTCACAAGAACTGTTTTCCTTCACCGCTGTCCTTTTTGCCCAAAGCCTCAGCAACACGTTTCGTTCTTTTTCCGTGTCATTCACACATATCCCACCGGCCAGAGTAGCCAGTAATAACTGTCTGAATGGCAGTTGTATTTGAGCTTGTGTACCTGCTTTGGTGCTAAACATTCTTCTTCTTTTACATTTCATGCAGATTGAATGTGCAAAGTGACACGCTGAATTGTGAACCCCTAGCCACTTCTCGGTTAGTTTTAGCAGTGTAGAAATCATCTAGTAGGCCCCCATTGGAAGCCATCTTCAGTGTTTTCTGTAACATCTGTAGCATCAAAGTGTACTGCATGTATTCCAGGTGCTCTGGTCTCTCTAAGGGAAAAAAAAAAAATCTGTAGTATTACTCAGTATTTTTTATTTGTCCTCTTGGTGAGCAAGGTTTTTAAGGTAAAGAGTATAAAAAACAAATTTGAAGATATGGTTTTTTTGCCCCATCAGAGCAATAAGTGCAGGAATATTTGTGTAGGCTAAAGAGAACAAAAAAACAGACTATTTTCTAGAAGTTGGGGACTTGGACAGTTATAAACGTAACTTTATGGCTTGGATACCTGTGATGGTAGAAGTAGTAATTCGAATTGTAACTGGAGTCCCTTTCAGTCCTGTGATCTTGACATTTTAAATGTTTTCTGCATTCTTTATAGGGTGGATGTGACTGTTCGGGGGGAAGTTCTGTAAGTATTATTTGTTCATCATACATTTTCTTTTACTAAATTATTTAACTGGGAAATTATCTGTGGTCCTATTTATTTCTAACATTTATTTGAATGTACTCTTAATTTTATATTCATTGTTCCCTCAATGACTTACGTATTACTGACATGGTTGGAGTTATTTCTCATTATGCCAAGATGAAGAATTTGGAATCATAGAATAATTTAGGTTGGAAAAGACCTTTAAGATCATCAAGTCCAACCATAAACCTAACACTGTCACGTCCACCACTAAACCATGTCCCTAAGCGCCACACCTACATATCTTTTCAATACCTCCAGGGATGGTGACTCAACCACTTCTCTGGGCATCCTGCTCCAGTGCTTGATAATTCTTTAAGTAAAAAAAATATTTCATAATACGCAATCTAACCTTCCTGTGGTGCAACTTGAGGCCACTTCTATCACTTATTACCTGTGAGAAGAGACCAACACCCACCTCACTAGAACCTCCTTTCAGGCAGTTATAGCAATACGGTCTCCCCTGAACCTCGTTTTCTCCAGGCTAAAGAACCCCAGTTCCCTCAGCCACTCCTCATCAGATTTGTGCTCTAGACCCTTCACCAGCTTTGTTGATTCTTTGGACACACTCCAGCACCTCAGTGTCTGTCTTGTAGTGAGGGGACCAAAACTGAACACAGTATTCGAGGTGCGGCCTCACCAGTGCTGAGTACAGCTGAATGATCACTTTCCTAATGCTGCTGGCCACATTATTTCTGATACAAGCCAGGAACCCCTTTTCTCCGAACAATGACTTTCATTTACCACACAGTATTTAGAGATGTGTATCTATTCTCAAAAAAAAAAAAAAGTAAAAAATTGCATTACATGCAGAATTGGCAACAAATCTCTCGTGAAGGGAAGCTAAAATAATATTGTCTACAAAATTGCTAAACATAAAAAGTTGTCACAGAAATCAGTGGTTACCAAATTAAAAAATAAAAACAAAACCAAACTGAGCCATTTCTCATTTTTTCCTTTTAAGTCCATATGAAATTATTTGAACACTGTGGAATAGGATAATACATGCTTTCCAAAACAAATCATATGTGGTCAATCAACATGTAGTATATAAAAGATATTCCTGCACCTTGGGTAGAGTTCTTACTTTCTAAGCAATGAGTCATGGGTAGATACAAAATGATACTTTGTGATTTACTGTCTTCCAGGCTGAAAAAGACTATTTTTATAATTGAGAAAATTAAGTGATGTGTAAATTTAATTTCATTTCAGACTGTGATAATCATCCTTTAAAATACCATAGAACAGGCATTCTAAGGTTTTGTTTTATTTTTAGTTTATGATCAAAGAAAAAGACTAATTTTTCTTTTTTTTTTCCCCCCCCCCCCTTATAGGGTGGATCCTCTACCTTAGTCAGAAGTGATTCCTCTGTAAATGTAAGCATTGATCATCAGCTTTCAAGTATACCCTGTGTTTGCTTTGTCAATATAATGACTACAGAGTTTAAAAAGAGTCAGTACCTAGTAGAAGTCATACACTTGTAAAAATAACCTACCTTAGTTATAATTAAATTACACACAGGACATTCATGCAGCACTCACAATTTCTCTTTCCATTTGAAATAGTATTCATTCAAATAGAAGTCTTTGAATGAAAAATGTTGTTTGACACAAACGCAGGTACATAACAATATAAATATTTACTTAGGAGTCAGTTCCAGTGGCTTCCTTGAAATTATGTCAAAATATCCCCTAAGGGCATGGATTTATTTGTTTGTATTCCCCTTAGACCATTTACTGCAAGAAAGGTTAGTATTCGCAGATCAGTAATGTAATGATGCTAGCCCTCTCGTGTGGATAAGAACTCTTTTGCAGGAGACACCTGTTTACACCGTTCTCAAGACCTGTTCTGTCCATCATGTGTTAGAAAGTCCTGTAGTGTATGCTTCCAGAGCTCCATATGTGCTGCACTAAAGGGAGAAAAAACATTTGGGGGTTTTTGTGTCTAGTACAGAACTCTGTGGCATTGTTACCAGATATAAAGCTGCTTGGACACAGCTACATAAATGTACCATACAGCAGTTAATATTACATGATAAATATGACTGGTCTTGTGCTCCCTTGTAGGAAGGAGGAATGTGTATGTGTCTACAGTCAGGAAAATATTCTTACCCACCTGTGTCCTACATCCTTCATATTATTGATGTTGGGATTTGCTTCCTTTGAAACTTCTAATCAAAACTGGTTTTTTTTTTTTTGTTTTTACTGAATTGGCTGTCTTTGGACAGAAGTTTGGGGTCAGGGACTGTATATAAAGATTGAGGGAACAGAGTGGTTGTGTCTACATTGACAAGTACTGCAAACTGCTAGGATTGTTTCACAATCCGTGCTGATGAACTCATGTCCACACTATACACATTTCAAGAAGGGTTTGCCCTGCTCTTGTCCCATGGACTGAAAGTCCATTTACTACCTGAATTCATTAAGTGTGCCCCCAGAGAGCATACTACAACTCAGTTTAATCTGAAAGGCATCCAATTAATTCACTCTGAGACCACTTCATGATGCAAAACAAACAACAGTGAGTGGGGTCTATCAGGAGTTTTGTCTCAAAGGCACATTTCTGATTTGTACTTTAATGTGCAGATGCACTCAGTACCTCAGCATAGGAGAATGGCTTTTGCATACTGAAAGTAGGTCATGATTCTCTCCCAACTATATGTTGCAGTTGACCTCAGAACAGTGTCGTTCATATCTTCTTTACAGGGCAATAAAAAAGTCATTTTAGACAGTTAAGATTCCTTGCAAAGGACACATTTCTGATAGATGCTTAACATTATATACTAAACACAAAACGGTTTCATTTCTTTGAGTTTAGCAGATCTTGTGGAAGCTCAGAGTACTCAAAAGGTCTATAGTACTCTGCAAGAATGATTATTAAAAGCTTTTTGTGGGGATGTCATTCTTCAGTGTGCTAATTTTAGGCTGAAAGAAATAAGCTGTCTATCCTTCGGTCAGATCCTTTGAACTGAAATAACTGGTATTTCCTTCCTGAGAGGGCTCTGGAAGCAGCCATTCTAGTGGAGAGGTACACACTAAATTTTAGATGTATTAACATAGTAGGAAAGGCTAGATTTTACATTTTGAGTGGATTTTAAACTGAAGCAAAAAAATTTAAAATATAAATTTATATGCTGCTGTCCTTAAAGAAGTTTTGCTTTAAAGTTGTTCTGTTAGAGAAAAATAGCCGGTTTCTTTTTTTTTTTTTTTAAATCCCAGGGCTCATCATCTTCTGGAGGCAGCCAGTACAGTAACCAAGTAAGTACTTATTCCAAAAGGAGAGCCAGCTTGCCACTTTTGAAAATTATGGTTATTCGTGAACTCAATTAAATTCAGCTCTTATATGGATACTATGTTTAAAGAACAAAAACTCAGTAAATGAACTTCATCATTGAGTTTGGTATGTCCTAAAAATTAAACACTATGGCTTTTTTAGCAAATAGTGCCCTTGTTTTTGTGAAACTTGCCTAATGAAGGTGTCACAAAAAATAAGTGTGGGGAAAGAATGAATCAAAATGTAGCATTTTTGATTCCTTGTGGACATAATTCCATTAAGAAGAAAAACAAATCCAATCCCCCCTCTTTAAAGAGACCTCTTCTTGTATGAGGTTTCATTAAACTTGCTTAGTTTGGTTTCAGAGTCCTGTTAAATAGCCAGTCTTTTACTGCTACCTTTGGCCCAGGATTCAGCTTTCCAAATACAGAAATGCCATTCTCCAGAAATGAGCAGAGAAAAAATTTGAAAGAATGCTGCTTTAGCCTTCCCAACAAGTCACACAAAACAGAGATTTTTTTACTTTCTACCCTTGCTTAGGAACTCAGGTATTTCTCCAAGTTACCCTGTAAGGCTTGAACGCTGGTTATTAAAGTGTACTGAAAGTCCTGCTCACCTGCCTTCACTCTTACATTGCTCTCTTACTCCTATTGTCCTGGGAGAGTCATGTTTTGATTTAAGGAAATTCTACAGCATGTAATTCACTTATTTGGTATTCTTTACAGAATTCATATTCCTCTGGAGCTAGCCAGTACAGTGGACGTGTAAGCTCTTACTTTTAATATTTTACGTGATATATTTGTTTTACCATTATTTGACTTTTATCAAGTAAAGGATTATCCAGATATTTATCTCAATTTAATATTTCAAGAAACTTTATAGTGATCTATTCTCTGCTCTAACATTGTGACTTCAAGGGCAGCAAAAATACAGAGTTTATTCTGGAGAGATTACAAACAGTCAAATAACAAAATACGTGTGTCTTTGTTGCTCATCTCCATGAGTTAGATACTCCAAAATAACTGAATTTCAATATTTTTCCAGGGGCCATCATCTTATGGAGGCAACCATTATGGTGGACATGTAAGCATTAATAGTCCCCACTTTTGTAGTTTTGACCTATGCAAACTTGTAGTTTATTCATTGTCTATCCAGCTGTCTACCTTAGCTTTATTTATCTTAGTCTAAAATCTTCTCAGTAAATCTTTCTGTGTAGTGATCTGGTGCTACTGTGATTAAACAAAACAAGTTCAAATTAAGGCCATTATTTAAGGCTACGAAAAAATAGAATGTGAAATGTGGTTGACTCCTGAAATTTTCAGGAGTAGAGGTCATGTCTTTCTGAAATAAATTAGTATTTCATGAAGCTGACCAAAATTTTTAAAAGCCTCATGAAATGATTCTATGGAATGGATTTAAAGAAGTTTCAGTTTCCTTTTTCATTCATACTCAGGGTTCACCTTCCTCAGGAGGCAGCCAGTATGGTGGACAGGTGAGAATTTTTCCCTTGCAGTGTTTATTACTTTATACAAGAGACTTGGTAGTTCTCTGTGTAAAAGAACATTTTAAGGAGGTTGATTTTTTTTTTCATGTTTTAATTTATTGCTAGGTATATAGAAATTATAAATGTATGTGATACAAAGCCACAGAAGAGTATTTAGGAGATGTAATTTCTGATGCATCATGATAAATGCAGATGCATCTCACTCCTTTTTGCACAGTCTGGTTCAGTCCACTCACAGTTTTGCACTGAAAGAAATTACGTACCTCTCCTTCACATGTAGCATGGTTTAAAGGAGTACTATGACACAGATATGGAGATCATTTAATTCTTTTTGTTCAGGGTTCACCTTCTTCAGGAGGCAGCCAGTATGGTGGACAGGTGAGAATTTTTCCCTTGCAGTGTTTATTACTTTATACAAGAGACTTGGTAGTTCTCTGTGTAAAAGAACATTTTAAGGAGGTTGATTTTTTTTTTTCATGTTTTAATTTATTGCTAGGTATATAGAAATTATAAATGTATGTGATACAAAGCCACAGGAGAGTATTTAGGAGATGTAATTTCTGATGCATCATGATAAATGCAGATGCATCTCACTCCTTTTTGCACAGTCTGGTTCAGTCCACTCACAGTTTTGCACTGAAAGAAATTACGTACCTCTCCTTCACATGTAGCATGGTTTAAAGGAGTACTATGACACAGATATGGAGATCATTTAATTCTTTTTGTTCAGGGTTCACCTTCTTCAGGAGGCAGCCAGTATGGAGGACAGGTGAGAATCTCTTCCTATGTAGACCTTATCCTAACACCCAGCTTCTACAGCAAAACTTGGTACTTTTCTATTGACTGAAAAAATATTTTTAGTAAACTCTGTTAATCTGGTAATAGATGATCAGGTATCTAAAGATATATGATCTGAAACAATACAAAAAACAAGAAAGGCCAGTACTTCTGTTGTATCACAGTAAACACAGTTCTGGCCTTGTTCTACCCTCCAACCTGCTCTCCTCATTCTGGACCCGTATTCCTTCTACTGCTGTCATGGTTTCTTAGCATTAACAGTAAGGAGAGGCTGGAAGCAGATTGCATTCCACCTCAACCTATGGAACACCTCACTTCCTTCAGCAAAATGTTGTTTCAGAGAAGCAGTGTGTCTCAGGAGAGGAACAGGGGAGAATGTCAGAAGTTGTTAAGGGGTGTTCCATGCCCTCGTGAAATGAAAGATGATGGATAGGGTACCTAGTGCTGCCTAGTCATCTAGACTTTAATATGGAGTGAAATCCCCAACACACTTGTCCTTGGTCTCCAAAAAAAAATATTGTCAGACTTATCGAAGAGGGAATTAGAGGAGAAAGAGATTTGCAGTCCAAATATAGTCTCCTGAAACTATGTATATAATCCTAATAGCTCATGATTAGTATTATGGAAGATTCATACATTACAGACCATCCCTAATTTGCATAGAACACATAAAGGAATAGGTTCAGTGTTTATCTTTCTGTAACCTTTCATTGTACAACACAGAAATAAAATAGCCTTTCTTTCAAAAACCCCTAAAGAAGCTTTTTGATAGAGAAATAATTGGCACCTTTGCTTCAGGGTCCATCTTTCTCAGGTGGCAGCCATTATGGAGGACAGGTGAGAATTGGTTTTCTATTTATGGGTTGTTCTTTCCATTATTCACCTTTTCTCTCTTTCTATAAAGGGGTGACTTCCAGCAAACCAGTGTTTTATAAAGGGGTGGCTTCCAGCAAAACAGTGTTTAGGCAGAATAAATGAATACATGATCTTCTGTTGTATCAGCCCACTCAGGAAAGTAAAACATAGGAGGCTGCTGTGACCATACAATCCAGTGCAGCAGCGTTACTCACACCTGCCTGGAGCTGACTTTGATTTAATCTTTATTGTTCTGTTCAAACAGTAGCCATTGTAAAGGTCTGTAGGTTTCAGTATTGTTATAAAGGAAGTACTTGCATTCCTGTGACACTTAAATGCATGGCAAATTAAATTGTGGTTTTCTGTGACAGGTCATAAGTTAAAGAATGCGCAACAAATATAAATGCTTTCTCATTTCTTTAGGGTACAGCTTCTTCAGGAAGCAGCCAGTATAGCGGACAGGTAAAACTTCTACTTTCATAGTATTTGCAGGTTTGGTACAACTTTCATTGGAAAACTGACCCTTATTTTTTGAAAAAAAAAAAAAAAAAATCTAAGAAAGAATGGCTTTAAGACAAACTTCGGATTGCTAAGTATGGGTCTGTCTGGTTGTCAGATGATGACATGAGCAAATGTTAGAGGGGCCCGTGTGGCTGCATGGAAATGTTTCCTTAAACAGATGGTGGTTCTAAGAAGCCCATTTTTGTTGTTATGTTTAAACAGAAGCAATCTGAAAGACTAAGGACCACAGACAACAAGTGAGAATGCTACTCGGTAACACAGAAATAATCAGTTACTTATTTTTTTGCAGGGCTATTCTTCAGGAGGCAGCCAGTCTGGTGGACAGGTATGCTTTTCTTTCTCCACACCATTCAGCTGTGCTAGTGTCAGGCACTCACAATTTACTTTGCCTATCTTCCCTTCACAAGAACTGTTTTCCTTCACCGCTGTCCTTTTTGCCCAAAGCCTCAGCAACACGTTTCGTTCTTTTTCCGTGTCATTCACACATATCCCACCGGCCAGAGTAGCCAGTAATAACTGTCTGAATGGCAGTTGTATTTGAGCTTGTGTACCTGCTTTGGTGCTAAACATTCTTCTTCTTATACATTTCATGCAGATTGAATGTGCAAAGTGACACGCTGAATTGTGAACCCCTAGCCACTTCTCGGTTAGTTTTAGCAGTGTAGAAATCATCTAGTAGGCCCCCATTGGAAGCCATCTTCAGTGTTTTCTGTAACATCTGTAGCATCAAAGAGTACTGCATGTATTCCAGGTGCTCTGGCCTCTCTAAGGGAAAAAAAAAAAAAAATCTGTAGTATTACCCAGTATTTTTTACTTGTCCTTTTTGTGAGTAAGGTTTTTACTGTAAGTTTAAATGAGAAATCAGAAGATTATATTTAAAACTTTGTAAGTGCACAGATATCCTGAAAGAACAGTGGAGAGAGAAAGACACTACTTTTTAGATGGGGCTTGGTGAGTCTATGAGCAGGACTTTATGATCCGTTTTCTTGCAGTAGGAAGAGTTTGATTTACAAATTCAGAGGCCTCTTCCAGTCATAGACTCAGGAAATAAGTTTGGTTGTGTTTTATGCAGGGTGGATGTGTGTGCCCTGGTGGAAGTTCAGTAAGTATTCTCTGTCTTTGTATATTTTTCATAGTATGTACACAAACTGGAAAACGACATTTCTTTAAATCATTCTGTCTCTGAAGTTTTTTTCACATTTTGCTAAGATGAGAAATATTGAACCTGCTAAGGACAAAAATATTAAGTAACTTGCAACACTATTATTGAATTCAAAACTAGCTACCCAGATGCATTTCTTTTTTCAAAGAAATACAGGAGAAAGAAATTGCAATTTTCCCACCCAGGATTAAACAAGTTGTAATATTTTCCAGTGTCTGTATTAGAGGAAGACTAGTGCTAATTCTGTAAAATATTCAGACATGAAAAACCACTTCAAAATATTTAATTTCTTTTGGTTTGTGAGAGGTCTGGGACTTTTCTAAGAATCTTATTCCCAAATTTCTCATAGTATATCTGCTGCGTTTTGGAGACGTGTAAAAGTGCTGTTCTTATGATGGTTATAAACAGTATGATTGAACTAGTGAAATTTAGATCTAAAATCTTGGTCCAAAATGCTTCCAATTGGGAGCAGAGCAATACATTTTAAAAGTTAAGGCTATTTCAATTTTTCTGCCTAATTAGTATATTCCCTATACTTTTGTAAATACCTAAAAAAAAAAAAACCACCCCACACACAACTCCCCTCTCCCCCTAAAACAAGCACAAACAAACAAAACAACAAAAAAACACTGTTTTGCTGAAAGTAAACTAATTTACTTCTGAGGGAGGGTTCAGTTAACTGTTATTTCAATACAGTCAAAATTGCTTAAATGACTACTTCTCTTTCTCAGATTATGAAATCAAGCAAAACCCACATGCCATATGTATACCACTCATGGCATATAAACCACTTCTGAGAATCAGAAGTGACAAAACCAGCATATAAATTATCAGTTTATTTCTCTTTGCAAGCAAATAATCTGAAGGAATAAGGATGAATTGAAACTAAATCCTTTACTTGTTTAATCAACCAAACAGAAAAGCACACACTGTAAATGACTTGATCATTGCAATAGGTCAATATATTCTCTTGTTTTTCCTCTACATGGTATTGAATTCAATACAGAGTAAACATTGCTATTTTTGTTGAATACAGGGTTCTTTTGGAGGAAACAGCTACCATGGGGGACAGGTAGGCAATTTTTCTGTAACATTTACAGTTTAGTTACTCAGGAATAAATATGGCTCAGTTGCTGTATTTGCCCAGAAGCCATTAAATATTGAGTTCAGTTTAGTCACAGACATAAGGACAGTAATTCCAGAGAGTCCATGTGGCTTTTATGGAATTGCTCTTGACATTTCAGTTAAATCTTTCTATATACTAGAGCCAAGATTTTACTTTGTATTTATAGAAGCTTTCTTACCTCAAAAAAATACTGAAGAATAATTCACGGGGTTCATCTCATTGCATAAACCCCTAGTATGACGTGTAGATAAGTAGCCATTTGCCACTGCATTAATAACCATGCAAAGGTCTTCCAGTTAATCAGTGTGATGTATTGTTTAGATTAGGTCCAGGGTTTTTTGATACCAGGTGATATTTTAAAAAATTATTTACAAAAGTTTCACATGCTTTTTACAGGGTTCATCATACTCTGGAAGCAGTCAGTATGGCGGACAGGCAAGTAACTTTTCTTTTTTTTTTCAAGATCTTCTTTCTACTTGCTATGTACTAAATGAAAAATGTGACACAGTACATGTACATCCAGTCAGTTTTTCAGAGTCCTTTTACTCTCAGTAAGTATCTGAAAACAGGGACCTCAGCAACTGAAGTGGAGTAGCATGAACAAACTTCAATTTAAGGAAACTGCGTAGATCATAATTTAATCTGTTTTGCCTCAGAATGCCTCTTACATTGTGATAATTTCAATTAGTCATTTTTATGTTTCGGTTTCACATTGCTTTGACACCAGCTCAAAATCTATTTTCTGTGTTATTTTTCAATTATACTGAAACTATCCTTTTTTTTTTTTGCATTTGTTTATATTAAATACTTGGAAATTTGGCCCAAAGTATACCAATAGGTACTGCCTTGAAAATATAAATTCTGTTGCGTTACCCACAGTAATACTACTTTCCTCAATTTCAGCTGCAATTCAAGTGTCTTAGTGTAAGCAGCTCCCTATGTACCTTTTGTAGACTTAGTAGTTTTTCACTGATTGAGAAATCTTACTAGCCCAAATAGTTAACAGATGTAATGGATAGCTATCTAATAAGGTGGAACTTATTTTTCATTACAACTCTGTTTGTAATGTTTCACTCTGCTATACTAAAAAATAACTTAATTCCTTTTTACTCCACTAGCAAACATTTGAGTTCAGTATCACTCTATTAGAAAGATCATTTCTTGTAGTATGGAGAGGATTTTTTAAAAGCTGCAAAAAGAATTTTTCCCAAATTACTAACTTGGAATAATAAGGGTGCTTTTACAATAATACACATGATGCTTACTGAGCATGTTTGACCTAGCAGAAAATCATAAATATAGTAGATTTTTTTTCTCTTGAACAGAGCCATACTTAAAGACACTTTATATCTGTATGTATTTACAGACATATGTCTATATTTACATCAGAGAGTAGTCTTGGCAGGTGTTTTGTGGCTGTTTGCCAAATTTACTGCTTTCAGCTGTTAAGGAACTTAGCAATTAAGTCAGAAGTTTTTCACTGCATCTTTTTAGATTAATATATTTTCCAGATTCCTACAGACATCTCCTGTCAAAAGGTCCTTCTGTGATGTTTCATTCTGCACAGCAACAAAAAAACAAACAAACAAAAAAAAACCAGCAAACACCCAAACCCAATCTAAAAGTAACTGCTGTTATTCTGTCAACATTTAAGCACTTAAGTTTCCTGTGATTTCTTTTTTTTTTTTTTTCTTTTTTTTTTTAATAGGGATCTTCTCCCTCAGGAAGCAGACCATATGGTGGGCAGGTGAGTATATTCTCATTCCATCACTCCTAACTCTTCCCCTGTACTATCAGGTCAGTTACTTGATGCTGAAAGATACATTAATTTGGCCATTTTACTGAGCTTAAATAGTTGAGGTAATATCAATTAAAGCAATTTCAGCAAGCTGAATAAAATAATTGATTAAAATGAATTACTGTTCTGTGTAAAGTGTTCCTTTGAACATGCTATAATCACTATACTGTATTCCATAACACTGCTTTCTTGATTCAGAATAACAGAATGTCATTGTTTTGTGTGCAGTATATAGCATAAGTTTTAGGTACCCCAGTTATTTTTTGTTCAAACAACATCCAAGTAAGTTTGTCCTAAGTACTGCACAAATTGTCTCAAGACAGTGATAGAGATTTTTTCATTCAAATAATAGATATTTGATTGACTTCTAACAGGGCTCATATTCTGGAGGCAGACAACATGGTAAACCAGTAAGTGAAAAAATTTCAAGTTTACTTTTCTTTTTTCTTATATGCCTATTAAAATATATATATGTCCAGTTAGTTATGGACCAGACATTTTTATGAGAATTACTTAAATATGCAAAGCGTGTCACATCATTTACTTACTTAGGATAATCTCAACAAATGAAAACACAATATTTAATTTCACACAGTTCCATAGTTTTGAGCCAGCATTTTACTCTGTAACTGAACTTCTAGTCAATCTCTGGATTAGTTCTAGTAATCACAGAATGAGATTACAGGATCTTTTGGGTTGGGTTTTTTTGGGGGTTTTCTTTTTTTTTATCATCTTTTTTTTTTTTGTAAGGGACTTCTGAACAGTTATTTATGTTTAAATGCATAGTAATCATACACTTTGTGCTTATGGCTCACTTTTTAATTTATTTTATATGTATTTGTCTTAATTATTTCTCACTTGTTTTGTAGAAAATACTTTTCATTTTTGAAGGAAATAATAGTTGACATTTGACTGTGTATTTTCATTTTATCTCATTTCAGATCAATTTTTTTACTATGTAATTTAGATGTTGCTCTTGTCATTCAATGGCAGGAGATACAAATAAGCACACACGATGTTTTAGTTTATCTCTTGTAAAAAATAAGATGCATCCACCTGTTACTAAAAAATGGGCACAAATGTTAAATTTTTTTATACATGAATCATAAAGGTGAGACATTTTGTGTACCATGTTTGATGGCATTTCTTAGAGTCAATGTTTTTAAGATTTCCTGTTCACAACTGCATTCAAATAAAAAGAGCAACTTTGCCAGAAAACTAAATAAGACACTTGTAGAACATCTTTTCAGTATCTGCTTTTATTTTCAGTTACCCTTCTTATTAGAGCTTCTTCAAGTAGGGCTGTAAAGGACTCTAACATCTACCTTTTTTTTCCACCCAAATCTAACTGTAGACTGATTCCACATGAATTAATGTTTAATTGGACCTTATTATTCTACACTTTCTATATATTAAACACATCATAACTACAAAACAGCTCTTTCTTCTTGAGAACTATGAATTAAATTTTCTGACTAATACATCATTCAAAAGAATACTTGTAACAGAAAGATCCTAAATATTTCTATTTCAGATAAGTTTTTCACTGGGGTTTTTGGATGACTGGACACAAAATAGTGTTCATTATCCTGTCGTCCTTTATTCCAGATAGGAAGAATACACTGAAGAACAAATAGGCTTAGAGTCAAAAATGGGTATCTTTTTTTCAGGGCTCATTTTCCTCAGGAGGCAGTCATCAAGGAAAGCCTGTAAGGATATTCTTATTTGAAGTATTCCACAACCAAGTTAGAAATGTGGATTTTTAAAATAGGTAACAATAATGAGAGTGGAATTTAAAATTATGTTACAATGGTAAATGTCTGAGAAAACTGACCAATAAAAATTTGAATATTTTGGTAAACTTGAACCTTAGGATGAGGCAGCATTCATTCCTCCCATAGGAAAGTTTTGATATACTCTGTTACTTACTCATAGGAACATGCTTGGATCATTCTATTAAGAATGATGTATTCAAATATCAGGATAACTGTCTCAGTTTCAAACTTTGTAGTTCAGTCAATGACATATTGCTTTGAACATCCTCTGAAACTGTTCATGGAATAAAGAGGACATAGCTGTGCTTACTTGAGACCATTCAATTGAAATAGGGAAATAAAGTGCAAGGAAAATGGTAAAATCAAAGTCAGTATCAAAACTACTGATATCTAGGACACTTTCAAGACTGCTGTGTGCTCTTTGGGCACAATTCACCGGAAGTCTTGTACAACAAAAATAAGTAGTTTATAATTATTTTACAGGGCTCCTCCACCTCCGGAAGCACTTATTCTGGTAAACCGGTAAGAATACTTTCATCAGAACATTTTCATCTTCTTTTCTTAATAAACAAAGAAGCTGGGTGGTTGAGAGAGCAATTTTGGGATGATCTGGTCTGAAGAGAACATTCTGTATTAGTTCCATTTGTACTAGAGCATATTTAAAGAAACTGCAGTGGAAAACACAGCCTCCACCTGGAAAAGTTATTTCAATATCAGTTATATTTTAAATCTGAATGTCTTGCTTCACATTGCAGTTAATGGCCTTGTTACATTTTGCTGTCCTCTATTTTTAAATTCCTGTTCTGTGTAAATTTTATAGACTCTGCTCAGTTAATTCCTTCACTTTTTTTTTTTTTTTTTTCATAAGATAGATTGTTGAGTTTTTCACTGGCAGGTTACCTGGTTTTGCACTTTATTTTTTCAGTACTCATCAGTTTTTAACAACCTCTTTCAACTATAGGGATGGAAAACTGTATGGAATATAATGGAGTGAGAGAAAAGTAGACTTTTTCCCTTTCATCAATTTGTAGCTGAAATTTTCAGATGTAAAATGAGAGCGTGTGTAACTAGAACTATTTACTTTATCCATGCAAAGCTACTTTCCTCTTGAATAACTTAATAGCTTAACCCACATTGGTTTTAACATTTGTTGATCACAGGCAAAACTATGTTCAAAACTGTTAAGTGGGAGCAGGTCTAGATTTATTTGTTTGTTTGTTTTCAGAATTCACCTTCCTCAGGTGGCAGTCAAGTGGTAAGCACTCTTCCTCTTTGTACTTTCTACTGGTTTCTTGCTATACGTATTGTAGAAAAAGTATAAAGTATTGTTTACACTGTGAGGTAGCTCCTAGATTTCCTTTATCTGAATAAATGTTTGAGAATATACGTCCAACATAATAAATGGCAATAGTATCAACAAAAATGAGGAAAAGTGGGACCATGTAAATGCTTTATACTTTCAATCCTGCCTATCACTTGAAAACTGAACACCGGTTGATTTATGGGTACTGTAAGTGTGGCACATCATCTTGTAACATCAGATGTGTTTGCATAATAGAAGGGGCTAATCAGAAAAGATTTATCTGAAACTTTCTATGCTTTTATAATAGTAATAAATAGAACTATTTTAAATTGGGTTTATCAAATTGCTCTCTTTTTTTTTATAGAGCTCTGCTGGGAAACACTCCACTTCCCGACTCCTGATGTTATTCAGTGTTTTGAGTGTCTTTGCTCTCTCTGCTGCTACACCAAAATGGTCTATATGAACTTCTGAAGAGTTGCTCGGCATCCTAGACATGGATTATATTCAGTAATATTAGATTAATTACTTGATGTAAGAAAAAAATACCCTTAAGTCAAATTGGCAGATGCTACTTGGCTGTTATGTTGTATGTCTAGCTAGTATGTCATGCCTCTCCTTAGTTTACCTTTGGTTTTAGTCATTAGTAGATATCATTAGTTTTGTCAGTGTTTTAGGCATCATTTTAAGAGAGCATATTGTACCCTACCTATATGATATATTTTTATTTCTGATGGGGAATGTGATGAACACCTATCTGAAATCTGATCGGTGCAATAAATACTTAAAAAATAGTAGGTGTTAACCAAAATGGAGAAGGTCAAAAAAGTTGTTATATATGCAAACTGAGCACCATGCCTGGTCATCACCACATAAAACCAGGCTAACGTAAACATCTGATAAGCAGTCTTCCATGGGACAGAAGAAAAGATGCTAAAATAATCAGTCTTGGTTTTAGTCTATTGCAATCAAACTAAAGTTCAATATGGAGGTTGCAAAGCCAAAAAAAAAAAACACTCCATGGCACTGAAATTTTGAGAGGTTAATTAAAGTTTATTCACTAGAGAAGTCAAACAACTCAGAGCAAGAACTGCTGAACTCTGTTCAAACTGCATGCAAATATCTGGAGTTCTGTAGAGAAGCATGAGAGGCAGTGCACCCTACATTAGTCTGAAAGTCTAGAAGCTGCTGAAAAACAGTGTTTTCCCTTGGGAAGGAATGGAAATGTAATTAAGTTCATAAAACTGATAGTATCTTGGCTGCTTTCTCAAGTATTTAGTCTAACCTGTGATACCTGATATACCTGAAAGTTTCATTTCAAGGATGTCGACATCTGAAAGCAGGTACAGGAACTGTGGTCACAGAAAGATCATGGCCCACTTTTGAGTTCAGCAGCAGTTCCACATTTTGCAGCAAACTCCTTTGGAGCTGCCGGAGCCGCCTTCTGCTTGTGCAGTGACCCTCGCTCTGGCGCCTTGTTGGCAGTGGTGTGTGTGTCCCTTGTCCGGCCGCCCCTGCAGCTCCTGCCTCAGCCACGGGCCAAGCTCCTCTGCTGTTAACAAAGTGCATTCCCCTAAAGCGTACTTCTGATTACCATCTCATTGAACGTGCGCCTAGTATTAAAATTACATTTATTAGTAGTATGCTTGTCTCACATGGTTTACAATTGTCATCGATGAAATACATTTCCCTCAAGTTCTGCTACCACCTTCCGTGGGGCCCGATTTCGCCCGTGCTGCGCTGCCCCCACACCCTATCCTTTGCCAACCGTCAGTAAATCAACCTCAGTCTCTGAAGCTGTAATTGAAGCATAAAGGAGTTCTGCTTAAATGTGATCTTCAAACTTGGGTGGACAACTTGTTTCTTTGGAATACGCAACAAGGTTCTGTTTGAGAGGCCCGCATCTACTTGGACCTAGCCTTGCACATCTGTTATAAATCTGCCACGGATTCCACGCGGCGTGCCCGTGGCGGTGCCTGCAGTGCTGCCGCCGCCGTCAGACACGGCTGAGGGACGCGCTCGCGCCCGGCCATGGCCGCGCGCTCGCTGGGAGGCGGCGGGGTGCGCTGGCTCCGGCCCCGCGCGCAGCCCCCGCCGCGCGCCGCCGCCCCCCTCCCCCCCCGCCAACGGCCGCGGCGCCACCGGCGGAGGCGGCGGGATGGAGAACTCCCCGCGCGCTGAGGGCTTCCTCCCGCCCCGGCCGCCGCCGCCGGTATTCGCCCCGCAGCCCTGCGGGCCCCTCCCGCCCCCTGTCGCTGTTCCTCATGCGGCGGCGCCAGCACCGCAGCCCCTGCTAGCCCCGGACCACCGCCCCCAGACAGGATCCCGGCCCGGGCACTCCCAGGCCGGCCGCCTCCCGCTCCGCGGGCCGTGACGGGCGGGACGCGCTGCTCGCCGCGGCACTGGGAACGGAGCGGGCGGGGCCACGGCTGCAGCCGGAGCCTTTGCGGGACAGGACCGCGGCACCCGGAAACACCGGGCGGCTGGTGGGAGCTGAGCCGGCAGTAAGGGGCGAGCTGGGCCGCCGGGCCGGGGCTGCAGGTGGGTAGGCCTGGGCTGGGACCGGGAGGAGCAGAGCCCGGCTGGGGCTGCCCCGGAGGGAGCGGCGCAGGGGTTGTGGGTGAGGGAAGAAGCCTGAGGGAGGCCGTTGGTGTGGGAGGGGGAGACGTTTGGGGTTGGTGGATGGGGTGGGATGCAGGTCTGTGGGAGTAGGCTGAGGAGGGGAAGGGTGGGTTTGAGGAGATACCGAAAGAAATGTCTGTAAACGGAACGGTCAGGGCAAGAGGGAGAGGAGGGGTGAAGTTACTGTGGGGAAACAGCTATCTGTGAAGTTGGGAAGGGATACAGATCTGGTCAGCATCTGTGTCATTGCTAAGGTGGTGGCTCACTTACTGGGTTTCTTCTTGGTGTAGGTGCGGCTGGTGCTCTGCTCAGAACATGCTCACTATGCTTGATGTGCTGTGTGTGAAGTTAACAGAAATGCACCCTTTATAAGTATTTCTGTGGCATCACAATTTCACACTGGGTTTTTAAAATGAGAAATGCTCTAGCAGTACAAAGTTTATGGATTAAGTCAGAAAACCAGAAGATGCAGAGATAATGAATGTAGTAAGGAAATACATATTATGGTTTAGACTGGAAGGTAAAAGATAAACACTAAAAGGTACTCCAAGATGTTTCATTTTATTGACTTCTATAAACTATGTTTGAGATCAGAGTGAGGAAGACTTGGATACCAGATAAAAGATTTTTAAGGAATGATTGGGTGGAGAAGACTGAGACTGCTTTCTGCAATGGAGGGATGTGTTACTTGGGATGTAAAGAACACATGCAACAAACCTTTATAAAACTGAGTGACCACTGTAGTGGGAAGCTTGCCTGTCATAGTGGCCTCTACACAGGAAGGTTGGGATCTAAGGCAACCTTTGATTTTCAAAGAACACGTACAGACTAACAAAATGGGGTTTAGAATGAACATTAGGTGACAGACTGCTTCTCCCAAAATCTGTGGGCTGCCTTTCTCCATAGGTCTTGATACGTCTGAACTCCTTGTATGTGGACTGAGTTGAGCCTGACCTGTTCAGGTCTTCTCTGTTAAGTTAGTATATAGGACCTGCTCCACAAAAACTGTCACTGTATAGACAGTTTGCGAGAAGAGACTCTAGCTCTGTGATGTGTGCTTTTCTTTTATAAAAGAATAAGCAACAACATATTTCTTTAGAGGCTGCAGGGTGAGTTTGAGGGAGGTGATGTGGAGAAACTGATTTACAATAGCCTCTTTCTTTAGAAACTATAGCTTGTGATTCCCTTGTACACTGTTAGGCATTGTGAGACCTTGTGATTGAAAATTACACTTCTGGGAGGTAAAGATCCATTGGTTTGGGATGTGTGATGTTCTGGATTGTAGAAGTAGAATGTGTAGGAAAAATACTGGTTTGGGCAAAGACTATGGTGGTACTCAGTATAAATTTGCTTTATTTAGAGCAATGTATTGTTAGAAGTGATCCTATGTCTTTAACAATCCTACAGGCTGCCTACACAATCTAATTCCTTATGCTAGTTATGCTGCTGTTTGCAATAACAGGGAAAAGGCATCCAAACCAGGTACCTAGGGAAATTAAATCACACGTGTCTGCTCAAAACAGGTCCAAATTTGGCAGCGTTAAGTGAGGTAACACATAGTTGATCTTTGGGACAGGCTTGCTAGATATAGCTATTACTGTCTTACTATTCTTTAATTGATTGCCACCCCAGTGTATTATTCACCAATTATTTCCATTCATACCCATATGCATGCTGCTTGCGGAGGCTTAGTGCCTTCCCTGGAACTGGGGAGGCTGAACAACTGGATCACATAGAGGGGAGGAGAGATTCTGAAGATCTGTACCTCTTAAGATCTAGCATAATAATGTGAGATGGTTAGGAGTTCAGGATTTTCCCATTGAATTTTTGAATCTTCTTGTCTTATATTCATACCCTTCAGTACATTGTTCAGCTGTCTAATTTTATTTGTAATTACTAGCTTTCTGCAATAACCATCTACAGATTTATTTTCACAGTAGTATCTAGTTTGTGTTACTCTACTCAGCTAGGTCACCTTGACTGAGGGTAGCTGCATTGCCCCGAGCACCCAGACTTGAATAGTAATTCATAAATAGCATGAGTGTAAGCTTTAGCTGAATCCTGGCTGTATTTAATGTTCAGCCTTTAGCACCTTAAATCAAGCTCCTTCATTGGCTTGATACATCTGCAGGAGTTGCATTTGGGCAGTGCTTCAGTTCATGGCATCGCACTCCTGTATGCTTGAGGAGGGATGGGCATTTGGACTAAACCCAAGAGCTGAATGCCTCCTTGCTCGCAGAAACTGAATGTGACTACTAGGATCTTTCTATAGTGCAGTCTATACAATGAATGCAGTGTATGTACTGTTTGAAAAAGAGAGAGGCAGTTAAGGCAAGTTGTATCAAATTTCTATGTTGGCAGGCAGAGTGTGGCTTAATGACTGTTATGTCAATATAAAACTATTGCACCACTGTGCACATAGTTGAAGTCTTCATCTTACAAGAAATACTGGTGTTAGATTTAGCTCAATGAGGTCCTGAATTTCCTGAATGCTGAATATTTATATTCAGTATGTAATATTTCCTTAATATTCATTAAAACAAATTTTCATCAGTCAAAGGAATCCTATGTTTGGATTCTTTGGTTTGTTGTAAAGGATAAAGGGGGTGGCTTAAAGAGTATTTAGCCACAAATTTCACATTTAAGATTCATGGTGCCCAACTTTTCCTGCCTAGATTAGAACGGCGATTTTTCCCCCCCCCCCCCAAAAAAAAAAAAACAACAACAAAAAAAAAAAACCAACAATAAAACTTTGTGAGATCATCAAAAAACTCATCAGTGTTAAGTTCCCTTTCTGCTAGGTTTTCTGTCAAACTGTAAGAAAAGTTTACCAGAGTCCCAAGCAATTTATAGCATTGTCTGAAATTAGATGGTAGTTAATATGTAATTGCATTCCCTTTCTTAGACTTGGCAATGGTGGAATTTCCTGCTTGAGTGATATTGATAGTGAATCACTGATACAGCCTCTGCTATCCTTGGCAAAAGCTTAGCTTATTGGAGTGAAGTTGAGAAAAAAATATTGGTAGATCTTTAGAAGTTACAATTTAATGTGTAACTGCTCTGTGCATAAGTGCACTTGCCAGTGCTAAAAAGTATCTGCATCGATATTGCAAAGGCTAAGTGTTATGCAGCTGTCAGCTAAGGCCCACCCAGCCGCTCGCTCACTCCCCCACTCAGTGGGGTGTGGGAGAGAATTGGAACAGTGAAAGTGTGAAAACTCGTGGGTTGAGATAAAGACAGTTTAATAGGCAAAGCAAAACAAGGAATTCATTCACCACTGCCTGCGGGCAGGCAGGGGCTCAGCCGTGCCCAGGACAGCCGGGCTCCATCACACGTAACGGTGACTTGGGAAGACAAACACTATCACTCTGAATGTTCCCCCACCTTCCTCCTCCTCCCCCCAGCTCTACCCATTGAGCACGATGCCGTATGCTGTGGGATGTCCCTGGGGTCAGTTGGGGTCGGCTGTCGCGGCTGTGTCCCCTCCCAGCTCCTTGTGCCCCTCCCAGCCCACTTGCTGTTGGGGTGGGGTGAGATTCAGAAAAGGCCTTGGCCCTGCTCAGCAGTTACAAAAACATCTCTGTGTTACCCACACTGTTTCCAGCACAAATCCAAAACACAGCCCCATACTAGCTACTGTGAAGAAAATTAACTCTATCCTAGCCAAAACCAGCATACCAAGATAGGATTGTGACTAGGGAGCTAGATGACATTGCAGGAGCAAGGTCCACTGCTGTTCTACAGCGTTGTGCTTGATACACCTGTCATGAAAATATTTGAATACAGTGATGTTTTTAATTTTTTTCACCAGTTAAGAATTTTTTAATGGAAATAGAGAAACTGGAAATAGTGCCTGAAGGAAACCCTAATGTGAAAAAAATTTTTGCTGCTTTCTGCTAGAAGAGTAAGGAAAAAAACTTTGTTAGAGTATTGCTTTTAATAAAACCTCTGAAGAAGAATACAAGCTCTAAGAAAAACATAGCTTGTTTTTTCCATACTGTACTTCATACACATTAAAATGTATCCAGCAAGAAGAATGCGTAACTAACTGAAAAAGAAAAGAAAGAACAAAGTAAGTTTTAAAATGAAGAAGTGATTTGCAGTGGTTTAGTTGAAAAGTGCTATGTATTTGGGGAGGCACAGCTGGCAAGTATAAATAGCTTATGGGAGGGAACAAAGAAGACACCTGTATCAAATATAAGGAAGATGAAAATCATTAATAATGACATTTTAAAGTGAGAAAGAAAAGGTTTGAGATTATTAGAAATGTTTATAACATGTTTTATAAAAAAAAATAAACAGACATGAAAGATGACATATGGGGGGGCAGGGAGAAAGAAATGCATTGTTGAATGATAGCAGTCCAAATTTGGCAGTTAAAATAGTTGTATGCATGTAAAATCTTGTTTATAACCCAGTTCAGCAACACTTACTAAATTTGGAAAGGTCTATGCGTACCATCTGGCATATTTATTACAGAATGGTTTGGGTTGGAAGGGACCTTAAAGACCATCTAGTTCCAACCCCACCCCCCCCACGGGCAGGGACACCTTCCACCAGCCCAGGTTGCCCCAAGCCCCGTCCAGCCTGGCCTGGAACCCTGCCAGGGAGGGGGCAGCCACAGCTGCTCTGGGCAGCCTGGGCCAGGGTCTCACCACCCTCACAGGGAAGAATTTCTTCCTTATATCTATTCTAAATCTACCCTCTTTCAGTTTAAAACCATTGCCCCTTGTTCTGACACTACAGGCCCTGGTAAAAAGTCTGTCTCTGTGTTTCTTAAAAGCCCACTTTATATATTGAAAGGCTGCTATTAGGTTTCCCCAGAGTGTTTCTTCTCCAGTCTGAACAACCCCAACTCTCTCAGTCTTTCTTCATAGGACAGATGTTCCATCCTTATGATCATTTTTTGGCCTTCCTCT